CATCTGAGACGGGAATTGCAATTTCACCGACCTGCTATGTTAATGGAAACCTTCGCCATGGCCAGAGCATATGAGGCCCGTTTTGATGACACACCAACCATAGGCAAATTGTGGTCTCGCGGCCCACAACACTCCACAGGCTCACATACCCAACCTAACCACAATCAAACAAACTGATCCAATTCAAATCCAAATAACCCATCAAACAATACTGCAACATCGTTACCACCACTCTTACCCACACCACACTCAAATCCTGCCGTGCGGAACATGCCCTCTGCCGAACTCCGAGACTGCCGTTCAAAAGGTATCTGTTTTAAATGTGATGAGAAATGACACCCATCTCATCGATGCCAAAACCGCGTGCTTATCCTCATGGGAGCGGATGAAGAGGAACCCCACCGGAATCTGAGGATAACTCAATAGATGATGTCTCGGGTGACATATCCAGCCTTCACTCCTTGTCCAGCCAGCTCCAAAGTCAATCCTTGCGTGTTTCCGGCCTTTATAACCAAACAAAATTCACCATCCTCATTGACAGCGGGAGCACTCATAACTTTATCAAGCCTGCGTTAGTGGAACGATTGGGGTTACCTATCAAACCATGCCCTCGTTTCAAGGTTGCAACTGGTTGTGGAACCTTCTTGGTTTGTCAATTTTGTTGCCATAATGTCCCTCTTATCTTACAGGACATTAAATTTGAGATGGATTTGTTTATCCTGAATATTTACAAAACTGGACTTGCGTGCAGGGTACCATCAAATTCGGGTTCATCCGAGTGACACTTATAAAACGGCGTTCCGCACACATGAGGGTCATTTTGAATTTCTTGTAATGTCGTTTGGACTTACTAATGCACCGTCAACATTCCAAGCCGCAATGGACCAATTGTTTTCTCAATACTTACGAAGATGTCTATTCTGTCAAGAGTCCATTGACTACTTAGGCCATATAGTTTCTTCTCAGGGTGTACAAGCGGATCCGGCCAAGCTTGAAGCCATGGAAAAATGGCCCATACCAGTAACGGTCAAACAACTTAGGGGGTTCTTAGGCCTTACCGGATACTATAGAAAATTCATTGCCCATTATGCAAGTATAGCTTCTCCTTTAACTGATCTCCTGAAGCATGATGCATTCTCTTGGAATGAAAATGCTCAACGGGTCTTCCTTGCCCTTAAGCAAGCTATGCTTTCTGCGCCGGTCCTTAGTTTACCTGACTTTTCTAAAGAATTTGTAATAGAGATTGACGCATTCAACGTCGGTATTGGAGCTGTTTTAATGCAAGAGGGTCACCCCCTTGCCTTCTTTAGTAAGAAATTGGGCCCGAAATTACAAGCTGCATCTGTATACATCAAGGAACTACATGTCATTACAGAATCTGTTCTTAAATGGAGACAATACTTGTTAGGTCATTTTTTTGTCATCCGAATTGATCATAAGAGCATTAAGGAATTACTTCAGCAAGTAATACAAACTCCGAACAGCGAGTCGTATGTGCGCAAACTCTTGGGGTTCCAATTTCGCATCGAGTACAAACCTGGGGCTTCCAATAAAGTGGCTGACGCACTTTCACGTGTGCCGGCTGACTGGCCAGACAGTGACCACACACCCGCACTCAGAGCATTAGTGTCATCACCTACATATGGTATTATTACTCAGCTCCAAAAAGATAATGCTTCAGATTTTTTCTATCAGACTTTTCGGGAACAACACATGCAGGGATTGCTCCAGTACCCTTATACTATCGTGAATGGGGTCCTCTTCCATACCGGTCGTTATATGATCAACCCAACATCTCCTCTATCTCATACAATCATTAACGAATTTCACGATACACCAAGTGGTGGCCATGCTGGTGTGAAACGTACCCTAGTTCGTGTTGCTGCCAATTTTTATTGGTCCGGTATGCGTAAAGCAGTGGAAGAGTATGTCGGCTCATGTCTTACTTGCCAACAAATTAAATACTCAACGCAGGTTCCAGCGGGACTCCTTCAACCTCTCCCGATTCTAGAGACGGTTTGGGAAGATGTGACAATGGATTTTATTACGGGTCTCCCTCCCTCTCAAGGATCCACGGTTATCCTTGTTGTTGTGGATCGATTATCGAAAACAGCTCACTTTGGTGCTCTTCCCACGTCATTTACCGCTTCCAAAGTAGCAGAGTTGTTTGTGTCTTTGGTTGTGCGTCACCATGGGTACCCTCGTTACATTGTGTCTGATCGTGATCCGGTCTTCATTAGCGCTTTTTGGCGCAAGCTGTTTGAACTTAGTGGCACCAAGCTTGCTATGAGCAGTGCCTATCACCCTCAAACTGACGGTCAAACCGAGATAGTTAACCGTGGGTTGGAACAATATCTTCGTGCCTTCACTCAACATAAACCGTCTTCATGAGTTGCATTCCTCCCGTGGGCCGAATTTCATTATAACACCAGCTACCATTACTCTGCACTTTGAAGACAAATTTAACTGCTGCTCAACATAGAATGCGTCAGAAGGCCAATGCACATCGTCGAGACATTACTCTCGCTGTTGGTGATTTGGTTCTCGTACGCCTCAGACCGTATCGCCAAACATCAGTCCGTCAATTGAAACACCACAAGCTCTCGAAGAGGTTCTATGGTCCTTATAGCATCATCGAGCGCATTGGGACAGTGGCATACAAACTCCAACTTCCTCCTGGTAGTCGCATTCACCCGGTTTTTCATGTGTCGGCTCTTAAACCTTTTCGTGGTACTGATAAGATGTCTGCATGTGACTTACCCTTGGAAAGCTTTGATAACCAACCTATTGATCAACCAAGGGCAATTTTAGATTGGCGAACTCAGTTAGTTCACGGGCAACCACAGGAATAACTCTTGGTGCATTGGGAGGGCTGTCCAGTTGATGAAGCTTCCTGGGAAGACTTGGAAAATTTCCGCACTTGTTATCTCGATTTTCACCTTGAGGACAAGGTGAGTTCTCGCAGAAGGGGAAAATGATACAAACCAACCAAGTGGACCCGGACCCAATAAGGAAGGATGACCCAATAATAAGGAAACGAGCAAGAAAGAAGCCAGCGTGGATGACTGATTATGTCTGCGGACAAAATTAGAAGATCCTGATATGCTCAAATTATGTCTGCGGACAAAATTAGAAGATCCTGATATGCTCAAATTAATTCCTGAAATTTCTGCTGCAAATTATTAGTTTAATTCCTGTTTTATTTTCCTAATTTTTACTTGATTGTTAGCACCCAATTCTTTTTAATAGCTATGATGTAATAAAAAAAGAACAGAATAAAAATTTTCAAGATCCTTTTTCCCCCAAATTCTATTATTCTCTTTCCCTTAATTTTATGAGGAGTGGACACTCACTCGAAGAGTGTTAAAACCTTTGAGCATTCTGCAGCATCACTCTGCGCCGGCGGTGGCCCTCTCCACGTTGCCGATTCCAACTTTGCCTCCGCCTCTGTTAAACCCACCCCTCTCCCTGAACAGTTGACTCCAAATCGGAAGAGGAGAAGGGATTAGAGTAACAATTCAGATACCTTACATACTATCTCATGTAAATAAGAATGGAAAAATAATAAAAAAATTTTGAGTACTTGTCTTCTTATCTTCTAGAAAGATGTTCGTTGATATTTTTCAATCATCTACAAAACCGGCACTACAAGAAAATCGCGTATTACCGACGGATATTTACCGATCGAATTTGTATCCGATCGGAAAATAATTATTACTGACGGAAATTACAGACGGATATAAAATATTTGTGGAATTTGATCTTACCGACGGATATTTCGATCGGTAAATTATCAATTAGTAAATATTCAACTAATTAAAAAAATTTAATATTTTTTATTTAATAATTTCATTTAATCAAAATTAGATTAATTTATAATAATTTCTTAAATTAAATAATTTTAAAAAATAAATATTTAATTATATAAAAATATATAAAAACATATAAAAATATTTAATTGTATATAAATATATAAATATATATATATATATAAATATAAATATATATATATATATAAATATAAATATATATAAATATATATATATAAATATATATATATATATATATATATATATATGTATATAAATATATAAATATATAAATATATAAATATATAAATATATAAATATATAAATATATAAATATATAAATATATATAAATATATAAATATATATAAATATATAAATATATTAAAATATATAAATATATTTGTATATAAATATAATTTATTTGTAAATTATTATCGAAAAATTCTGGTACCTTAGTGGTTGGAGTATCGACCTCTAACTCTAAGGTCATCGGGTTCAATCCCGCCAATGACAATTCTCTTAATCTGATAATAATTGAAGCCTATAAAATTGTAATAGGGAAAAATAATTAATAATAAATAATAAAAATATTACCGACGGATTTTTGTTATTACGGACGGATTTTGACCGTCGGTAATATCAAAATTTTTTCCTACAGATTTTTAGCCGTCGAAAATCCGTCGGTAAATGGATATTACCGACGGATTTTTGTTATTACGGACGGATTTTTACGGTCGGTAATATCAAAATTTCTTGTAGTGCCGGTAAATAACATGAGAACATTAGAATAAAGAAATACGTGATACTTGATTATAGAACATGTTGAATGACAGAGACTTCGATTCCTCAAGATTGACGCCAACATTCTTCGAGGCAAAAGTTAATTGCAATACCTCATGTTGGGAATGTTGCTACTCATACGTGGGACTTCCAACAATAGTGATAGAACCAAATAGTGTAAATAGTGGTAATATTTAATGACACTACACATAAATCATAGGATAAAGTATGACTTATATTGTTAATAGGACAACAAATGCATCTATTGTATGAAGAACTAGTGGACATTTCATTAATCAAGTTAACAATAAATTAAGAGTATAAAAGAAATAAAAACTTTGTGCAACTCAGTTATTAATAGTATCATAGAAAAGTATATGCAGTTTTTTTTTCAGTTATTATTCTGGAACATGGTGCTGGTCAGTGTTGGAGTTGTCATTTCCTCCTATGGTGAAATTCAATTTAATGTGCTGGGTACAGTTTATCAGGTTACAGGAATAATTGCCGAAGCTTTGAGGCTGGTATTAACTCAAGTTCTTCTTCAAAAAAAGGCTTGACACTAAACCCTATTACCAGCTTGTATTACATAGCACCCTGCAGGTAGATCTGTTCTTAAGTATTTGAAAGCCCATATATAGTTCTGCTTATGCTGATAGGAGGAAAGAAATGAAATGAAACCTCTTTTCATCTATATGGGATGCTGATGTTGATTTTGACCTGTATGTATGTTTAGAATGCCACTGAATATTGTAGGATTTGCATCCCTCACTACATATTTTGAAATTTTGTTATTGTTAATATTAGCTTATTGTGTTGAGGCAAGCTTATAGTCAAAATGCCATATATTCACAACGGTCATACCCGCTGAGAATTTTCTGTCTGCCTATTTTTCACCATCTATCTTATTCTCTGGGTGAAGGAATATACATGGTATAATGGGTTAGATAAAGGATCACTATAAAGTGATTTAGGAACTAGCAAATCATGATGATTTATTTTGATATCTTCTGATCTTATGTTCTTCTAATGTATTTAATAAAGTTATTTTTATCAATATGACTTTTTTTGGGTATCTTTGATTAATTTGGTGCTTATTCTTATTAATCAAATGAAGGCCTGTTTGTGCTTCACCTGTAAATGATGTGTTGCTTCCTTCTTGGGTTCTGTGTTTATGCCTTTTATTTATGCTGCACTGATGCGCCACCAGCCTAAATCCTTAAAAGGCCAAAGTATAGATAAACCTGAATTTCACCTAGGATTTTTATGGACCTCAGTAAAATTGCTTGATGTGTACAATATTGTTAATGTTTCGCCTAAACAGCCAGCTACCATTCCCACTAGCCAGTGTTGCCCTACTTATCCTGCAAAGCTCTGAAGGAATGACAATAAGAGATATTTTGCATCTCAATTTTTCCTTTCTCATATTGCTTCGTAGGGTAACCCTAGACTAAGGTATAGCTGCCAGTTCTCTCTAACACTCACTTTGACTCATGAAGGAATGGGGCTTTGGTTGGTATATTTTTGGTATATCTGTGTATTGAAAATGTCACAGTTCATTAAAGTTCAAATTCATACTTTTGTTTTACCTGTTTGAATGATGACCATTTGCACTTTACTGTTCGCAGTTTTGTATTTCTTTTTATCCCATGGTACATCCTTGAGAAGCCTGAGATGGAAGATCCACATATGCAGTTTAACTTCTGGATATTTTTCTCAAATACTGTTTGTGCTTTCGCATTGAATCTTTCCACATTCCTAGTGATTACCGGTCTTAATATTAGGTCTTAATGAAACCTAGTAATATTAAGGTCCGAGATGTTGGCACATCTCAGCATCAAAATATCCAAGATGAATCAGCAAAGGTGAGCCTTTTAAATAACTTTTCTTTGATTTGTAGTTTGATCAGTTTTAATGCTTTATTGGCTGTTGGCCTATTTTCGTCGGTTAGATGCGTTGAATGGTTACTCCATTTTGAATATTCATGTAAAATTTTATTGAATACTTCGTTCCATTGATTGTTATCCTATTTTTTTTACACTGACCAAGAAAACTCAATAAATAGATGATAGAGAATATTATTTTTACTAAATTAACCATACTACAATTATTTTATTTTTCAAATTTTATTACCTCACTCCACTTGTTACGCATTACTACTCAGCCATGGAAGAGAATTTTAAGTATAAATGGAAAAATATTAATTAATACTCCATTGCAAAGCTTAAATGGCAATCATGTTAATTTTTTTTTTTCCTAACATGACAATCAAAATGGATGGAGGGAGTATAAGAAACAAATTCCTGATTAATCAAGAAGACTGATAAAAATAAATTAGTTAATTTTAATTAATACTTTGAGGAGCTTAAATTTTATTCCAAAAATAGTGATAGCACCAAATAGTATAAATAGTGGTAATATTTAATGACACTACACATAAATCATAGGACAAAATATGACTTATATTGTTAATAGGACAACAAATGCATCTATTATATGAAGAATTAGTGTACATTTCATTAATAAAGTTAACAATAAATTAAGAGTATAAAAGAAAATTAGAAATATATATATATATATATATATATATATATATATATATTTAAAATTGGATTACTCAAACCAATATCAATCCCTTTCTCATAGAGACTGGAGTAATAATTATGTAAAAACGTAAGTTATAAAACATATAAAAATCTTGTGCAACTCAGTTATTATTAATAGTATCATATAAAAGTATATGCAGTGTTTTTTTTTTTTCAAAACATGGTTCACATGTTTTTATTTTTTTGAAAAGTAAAGCAGTTTCTTCCTTTTTTTAACATTAATTTGTTAATAAGCTATAAAAAGTTGAGTTCAGACATTATGCATTACACATTAGATCTATTTGAGTAAGTTTCTCCATAAGCACTTTTAGAAAAAAAAAAATAATAAGAAAATTATGAAATAAACTTCTCAATGCTTTGTGTGTTGATTATTTCTTCCAAAACAGCGTAGACTGAGACCAATGGTTGATCTGTTCTCATTTTCTCCTTCTCTTTTCTGTCGTCACATATTTAAGTTTTGTTTAATGGCTCATCGCTTTCAGCTGAATTTGTTGCAACTTTTGCTGTTAATGTTAATTTTTGCACCTTTGATTTACTAGCTCTTCGTTCAAGTATGATTTCAACTTTTCTTCCTTGCTTTCTCCAATAAATATAGGAGCTGCTGACACAGAAAAATGCAGATGATGACATAGACAACAGAGAGGAGACTCTATGTTATGATTCAGTTTCTGATACTCATTTAGATTAATGGATTCGGCACGGATGTCTCATCTTGGATTTGGACGAAAACCAGCTTAGCGGCAATCTAGCTCAAGATAGATGCTGTAAAGAATTATATTGGAAAGTCAGCTTAGCAGAAACCTAGCTTTTAGAGACAGAGCTTACAGGAACCAAATCAAAGTATGTCTTAAACTTTATTCCCGAAAAGAACGAAGACGCCTCCTTCCAAAAGGAGAGGGGAAAAACAAAAAGCAGAAAGAAAATAGAGCTGAGGAAACATACATATTCTTTTGGCAGAGCAGATTAGTTTCATGTTTAAAATATATCCAGTAGTAAATTGATTCATTCTTGTATAGGGCTTGGCCTGACCATGCGGTGGAGGTTCTGTTTCTTCCACATTACCTCTCTTAACTGATTGATGATTCTTGAACTACCACTTGCTACTGCTAATTTTAGTTGAAATTTGAAAATGATATGGTTCATCATCTGCTATGCTCCTCATTTTCTCCATGACTTGTCTGCATCGTAAAATGGTAATTAAAATGTAGCACAAAAAGTATTACCCTTGATGCGTTTTTCTTTCACTGAGAGAAACCAAACGCGAAGAAAACCTATGCCATTTCACGTCGCAAACAAGCCCTTCTTTCACATCACTAATGGATTAACTGTCCATTTGCCCAAAAAAGAGCCTTTTTTTTTGTCCTAACTGCGCATTCTTCCTTCAAAGAGCGCACTAGTTGCCTTTCTCGGATAATTTTGAAGTTGTCTTCACCCCTCTAGAAATTACCCTTGAATAAGGGAAAAGAGATAGGAGCTCACCATGCCCTTGGTCACAGTTCACTTCCACACTATTCGTATTAGGATGTTCATGTTTCGTATAATTAAGAATGAAAACATTTAAAACCTAAAATTGACTTTTACATGTAATTTATGTCTTGCATTTGAGTGGTTTAATATTTGTTGTGATAAAGATATTTGATTAGGTAAATTATAGGTTTGTATAATGGTATAAAATATTGTATAATCAGAACTTCTTTTATTTAGTCCTGATTTTTTGGAGTAAAATACTATAAGATCATAGTATTTGTGTAAAAAAATAATATGAATAAAATATAGAATAAATTTTATGTTTTTCAACTTAGTATTAGAGCTTAGAATTTTTTTTTTCTTTCTAAATTCTTGGAGATCTTAACTAAAAAGATGACAGAAAAATCAATTTCAGTGGCAGTTCAATCTAAAAATGTCTTCAACTTAAGCATCATCCTAAATGAATTCAATTATGACGTATGATCACAACTAATGGAGATGCACATTACAGAGAGGGAAAAATTGTCCTACATTCGTGAGAAGGTGAAGCCTCCAACAGAGAAAGATGAGGGATATGAAAATGTCTTCAACGTAAGCATCATCCTAAATGAATTCAATTATGACGTATGATCACAACTAATGGAGATGCACATTACAGAGAGGGAAAAATTGTCCTACATCCGTGAGAAGGTGAAGCCTCCAACAAAGAAAGATGAGGGATATGAAAAATGGTATATTGAAAACCAAAAAATGAAAAGATGGCTACTGATGTCCATGAAGCCATAAATCATGAAAAGATATATTCGCTTACCCACTACCCTCGATATTTTGAATGTTTTGTCAAAGACGTTTTATGATGGAAGTGATGAGCTACAGGTGTTTGCCCTAAATCAAAGGGCATTCACTGCAAAACAAAATAATATAACCTTAACTAAATATTATGGGGGAGTTGGTTGAGATTTTTAAAGAATTGGATCATCGTGACAAAGTAGTCATGAAAGACCCTGATGATGTGAAGTCATATCAAAAGTCCATTGAAAGATTGATGGTGCATATATTCCTTGCTGGACTGGATGATAATTTTAAGCAAGTTCGTAAGAAATCTTGTGTAAGGAAGTGACACCTGATTTAGAAGAATGATATACATTAATCCGGAGAGAGACAGTCTGATGAACAACTTTGAAAACAAAAGATATGATCTCTGATTCCACAGTTATGATGACAAAGAAGCAGCCAACAAATTATTTAAAAGTTATGATGACAAAGAAGCAGTCAGACAAGATACCTTATGAGTAATTATATTTGTAACCAGAATTTGTCTAACTCAAATATCGCATTTATAAGTTAATTATCTACTGTATCTATTCCTAACAGTGTGCAAAAAGTTTTAGTTGACTCCAGGTAGAAGGATGCTATGAATGAGGAGATGAGATCCTTGCAAAGAAATAAAATATGAGAATTGATAGATTGTCCAATTGGAAAGAAACCAGTAGGATGCCGATGAGTGTATACTGTGAAATTTAATGCAGATGACACAATTGAGAGATTCAAAGCTAGATTAGTGGCAAAGGGGTATACACAAGCATATGGAATAGATTACACTGAAAGGTTTGCTCCCGTAACCAAAATTAGTACAGTTCGAGTATTGTTATCTCTAGTTGTAAACCTTATTGGTCCTTACAACAATTTGACGTAAAAAATGTCTTCTTACACGGGGAGTTGTCTGAAGAAGTTTATATGGAACTACTAGAAGGATGTAAAATCTCGAATACACATAGCAAGAAGGTATGCAAGTTGAAGAAGTCATTGTATGAACTCAAACAATCACCACGAGCATGGTTTGGTAGATTCACCAAGTCAATGCTTGCTTTTGGATATCAACAGAGCAACCAAGATCATACCTTGTTTCTAAAGAAAAAGGAAGGAAAAATTACAATTCTTATTGTCTATGTTGATGATATGATAGTTACGGGAGACGATATAGAGGAACGCAAGACATTGAAATAGTACTTGACAAAATAATTCGAGATAAAGGATCTTGGTCCTTTGAAGTACTTTCTTAGAATTGAGGTCTCAAGATCAAAGTCAGGTATTTTTCTCTCACAACGAAAGTATGCATTGGATTTACTGAAAGAAACTGGAATGACAGCATGCAAACCAACAAATTCTCCAATTGAAGGGGGATTGAAGTTGTGCATTGAAGAAGATCAAACTCCAACTAATAAAGGAAGATATCAGAGACTTGTAGGGAGATTGATGTATCTCTCACACACCAGACCAGATTTAGCTTATGCTCTTAGTGTGGTTAGCCAATTCATGCACAATCCAGGTGAAAAACACATGGATGCTGTTATACGAATTTTAAGGTACATAAAAACTGCTCTTGGAAAAGGAGTTATGTTCAAGAAGAATTTCAACTACAAGGATGTGATGGTTTATACTGATGCAGATTGGGTAGGTGCTCTTGATGACAGAAGATCAACCTCTAGATACTTTATATTTGTAGGAGGTAATCTTGTCACATGGAAAAACAAGAAGCAGAAAGTTGTAGTTAGATCCAATGCAGAAGCTGAACTTAGAGGAATAATTCTTGAACTTTGTGAATGTTTGTGACTCAGACTACTTCTCCAAGATTTAGGATATGCACATACATGTCCCATTCAATTCTATTATGATAATAAAGTTGCGCGCGACATTACTCACAACTCTGTCCAACATGATCGGATGAAGCATGTGGAGGTTGATAGATTTTTCATCAAGAAAAAACTTGACAAAAATATTCTGGAATTACCAAATATTCGATCTGAAAATCAGCTAGCAGACATTTTTACCAAAGTTGTGACAAGTCAGATTTTTAGGAGATTATTGGACAAGTTGGGAATGTATGACATCTATTTACCAACTTGAGGGTGAGTGTTAAGATAAAGATATTTGATTAGCTAAATTATAGGTTTGTATAGTAGTACAAAATATTGTATAATTTCATTTATTTAATCCTGATTTGTTAGAGGAAAATACTATAAGATCATAGTATTTGTGTAAAAAAATAATATGAATAAAATAAATATTCTATGTTTTCAACTATATTTATTCTATCTTTTGTTCTGGATACCCAACTTTTTCCGATTTTATCTCAAAACTGTCCATCAAATTCTTCTGCCCCACTTTTTTGATGTATCAACCAATTTGTTTACTAACAAATGCAAAGACTTTTTTGTGTTGGGTATAGAAATACCCTTTTAATTATGCAGCTACGTTAAATGTAAGAAATTAAAGTTTTATATTTAACCCAACAAGATTACTTCTAGTAGAAAATGGCTCTAGTTTATATAAAAATAAAAAAGGATGACCCTTTTAAATACTCGAAAGAAAACTATTTGGCACCTCATTGCAAACATGTAACTTCCCATACATCGTAAGGGGTGTCAGATTTTGTCTGAAAATGAAATCACCTAACATGAAGGAGTTACTAGGAAATCCTCAATTTCCACAAAGTGCTCTGAATGGATCCTGAGTGAGTAAGATGGAAGATTTTGCTAGGAGCTTGTGTGGTTGGAGTTGGGAGGAGAACAAATTGTTTGAGCTAGCTTTGGCAGTGGTGGATGAGCAACACCCTGAACGGTGGGAAGTGGTTGCAGCCATGGTTGGAGGAGAAAAAAGTGCAGGAGATGTTGAGGAACATTATGTGATCCTTCTGGAGGATATACTGGTTATAGAATCTGGAAAACTGGATCATAAACTTGGAGAAGTTATGCCTGATGTCCTTGTTCAGTGTAAGGAATCCCTATGCTTGTCCCACAGTGATACAAGCATGTAACTCCCTTTAATTTGGTGGAACATGATATTTCTAGAAAGGAAGCAACAAATACCTATTATCAACTTGTTTGCTCTCATGTTGCTGTTAATCAAGCTCTTTGATGTAATATTTTTATTCCAGCTTGGTCATTCAATTGGAAATAATATGATGTATCGTTACAGAAGGCATCCGTAACTTTGAATAACTTTTACGTAATAAAATAATTTAACAGTTTTTTTATGTAATTGATGTAATTATAATTATATGTCAATTGAAATGGGTAAATTTTAAAAAATTTACGGATATGGACAAGTCATATTAGGTAAGACGAATTTGTAGTGAAAAAAATCTCCTAAAAAGATTTTGGTCTTGAATATTTGTTTTTTTTTTAATTAAGTTGTTGTACATGACACAATTTTGGTATTTTTATTTTTTTTATCAAAGTTTCATTTGATGACACAAATTATATAAATCATTTTTTTTAAATTGACACCATTATTATTTATATTTTTTACTTTTTATATATTTATTTTAATTATACAATAATATTATATTTTTACCATTTTATACGTAAGATTGTAAATTCACAAATAACAAAATTTAAATTATAATAATAGTTAAAACAAACAAAATATATTAATATTAAAAATGAAATATATAACATGTATTTAAAGTACAATAATCGAAAAGATGTTAGCTTTGACTCGATACTATGTTAAGGTTCCAACATAAAATCAATTGGTAATATATGAAGTAGTTCTAACATGTATTTAAAGCATACCAAATGACATGAGATAGGCGATGTGAGACTTTCAACAATAACATTATTAGTGTGAATCTGGACAATTGTTATTATTATTATTATTATTATTATTATTATTATTATGACTTTAGTATGATAATATAACTATTTTTTTATGTTTATTTAAATTTGATTTATTTATTTATTTGTAATAAAATTTAGATATTATAAGAAGACTAATAATTTTTATTTTTGAAGTATGAGTCTAAATCCAAGTAGTAAAAATAAGTAAGAAGACATATCACAATATAAATAAATAAATTGGTCAAATCTAAATAGGTATAAAAAATTATCATTTAGTAAGAGTTATAATCTCTATCTTTAAGATTTAAGATTTAAGATTTTAAATTAAAAATAATATGAATATCTTAAAATTTATTTTGAATTAAAGATAACGGTGAATATTTTAGGTGTGAATTGGGTTCATGGTTGGTATTTCAATACAGCCGTGGTGTCTGACAGATTAAAAATGATATTTCTATTAAAACTGTTTGTGGACTGGGCTATGCAAGCTTGTCTCATTATGATGGGGTATTAGATACTGCGATTTGAAAACATATTTTGCATTGATAATAAGAAAGAAAGATAAAGCAAGGAAAATTTGTTTTTTTATTACTATTTAAATAAGAAAGGCGAGAGGAATGATATTTTGATATTTACTCGTTCAAACAACTTTTCAATAACTCTTTTTTATTAATATAATAATAATAATAAATTTAATAAAAATAAATTAAAATTACTATTATAATATAAAAAGTGAGTTATACAAGTGGTACAAATGAGGTTGTTAAAATCTCATTTTTTTATTATTATATATTATATAATACAATAATTCAATACGATAAGATATTAATGTTGTTAAATGGTGGATATTTTGCGTCATTATGTTATTATATTTTATTATTACAAAATATATAACTTTAAAACGTGATAACTTAGTCAATTGATTAAAAAAAAAACTTATTTCTTTTAACATATATTATTTGAATTTATAACTTCTTAATGTTAATTTAATACTTACCAATTTATCGTTATTTTATAGTTCCTTGTTGCTTTGGCTCCTCTGTTTTGTTTCTATTCATTCAAAGGTCACTTTATGGGTTCAAATCTTAACCTAAGAAAAATATACATCCAGCCTTAGTTAAAAAGGTCACTAATTAAGTTTATCTGTTCAGATCTTAACCTAAAAAAAAAAAATAGACATCCGGCCTTAGTTTTTTTTTTTTAATTAATGTTAGACTAAGAGTTATTTATTTTGCTACATGGATCGCCTTTGTTTTAATTCTACTTTTTTATCCTCCAAATATTACATTTTTGGGATTTTCGTTCTCTAGATATTAATTGTGCTAATTCAATCTAATAAATATTTAATAGATGTTATTTAGTTTCCTAAATTTCAATGATGTTGATTATTTAGTGATTTAGTGAGCTTATATATGATATTTAAGTTTTAAAATTACTTGCTATATTGACAAAACTAACACAACTAAAATCCCCCAAAAAAATATAAAAATTCAATTTACATACGTTTGAAACGTACAATTAAATTTATATTTTATTATAATATATATATATATATATATATATATATATATTATTGTTAATTATTTCATATAACGTACAGTAATATAATTTATAATTTTATTAATATTTATAATTAAAATAAAAACATTTGAATTGCAAAATTTAATTTTGAAGAATAAAAAATTAGTGAATAGTGTATTAAAATTCAATAAAGAAAAACTATGTTGTTATATGCACAAATTTATCTATCATTTTGTTTATAGGGTAAAATAATTCACTGTCAAATAATTAATACAGTTTATGCACTAAATTGCACCAAATATTTTTTATGATAAGTTTTTTTTTGTTTTTTAATTTATCATTTCTTTTATTTATTTTTTTTCTTGTACTTGTAGTGACATGTTATTATTATTATAAAATTAATAAAAATAGTTATTGATGAGTTGTTTGCAGTATAAAAGTTTCGTTTTGTGTATTTCCCTATAATCAAATAGTAACAATAGAAAAATAATAGATAAAAAATATCCTTCAATAACTTTACTTATTAATAAAATAATAATTCTTAATTAATTTAATATAATATTAATAAATAAAATTGTATATTGAATTTTTTTATTTTTTATTTTTTGAAAATATCAGAACTCTTAATAATAAGATTTCACATTTATATTTACAAGAAGATAGATACATCTTCACAATCTTTAACTCATTATATAAATAACATAAAAGATTTCACGGGTAGACCATTTTATTATGGAGGAATGATAGTTTGATATCTACTAATTCAAACAACTTTTTTTACCGTTCCTTTTTATTAATATAATAATAAAAAGATTTAATAAAAATAAAAATAAATTAAAATTATTATTATAATATTAAAAATGAGTTATTTTTTAAAGTTATATAAAATAGGATGTCAAAATATCATTTTTCTATTATTATATATTATATAATAGAATAATTCAATACAATAAGATATTAATATTGTTAGATTTGGGATATTTCACATGTTATTATGTTTTATTATTACTATTATTATTAGTACAAAATAACTAACTTTAAAACGTGATAACTTAGTCAATTGTTTAAAAAAAAAACTAAACATGTTTTTTTTAATATATATTATTTGAATTTATAACTTCTTAATGTTAATTTAATACTTAACAATTTATTGTTATTTCATGGTTCCTTGGTTTTTTGACACCTCTGTTTCTTTTCATTCAAAGGTCACTAATTAAGTTTATCGTTCAAATCTTAACCAAAAAAAAATACACATCTAGCCTTAGTTAAAAAAGGTCATTAATTATGTTTATCTATTCAAATCTTCACCTAAAAAAAATACACATCTGGGCTTAGTTTTTTTTTTTTTTTAATTAATGTTAGACAAAGAGTTATTTGTTTTACTTCATACCTTTGTTTTAATTCTACTTTTTATCCTCCAAATGTTACATTTTTAGGATTTTTGTTCTCTATATATTAATTGTGCTAATTCAATCTAATAAATATTTAATAGATGTTATTTAGTTTCCTAAATTTCAATTATGCTGATTATTTAGTGACATAACAATAGCTTATATATATATATATATATATATATATATATATATATATATATATATATATATATATATATATTTAAGTTTTAAAATTACTTGCTACATTCATAAAACTAACACAACTAAAATCCCCACAAAAAGTATAAAAAAACTAACTCGTACAATTAAATTTATATTTTATTATATCTATATATATATATATATATATATATATATATTATTGTTAATTGTTTCATATAACGTACACTAATATAATTTATAATTTTATTAATATTTATAATTAAAATAAAAACATTTGAATTGCAAAATTTAATTTTGAATAAAAAATTAGTGAATAATGTATTAAAATTCAATAAAGAAAACTATGTTATCATTTGCACAAATTTATGTATCATTTTGTTTATAGGGTAAAATAATTCTTTATTGAATAATTAATACAGTTTACGCATTAAATTGCACTAAATATTTTATTATGATAAATCTTTTCGTTGTTCAAATTTATCATTCCTTTTGTTTATTTTTTGTTGTTGTATTTGTAATGACATAAAGTGTTATTATTATTATAAAATTAATAAAAATAGTTATTGTTGGATTGTTTACTGAAGTTTCTTCCCTTGTATTTCTCTATAATCAAATATTAACCATAGAAAAATGATAGATAAAAAATATCCCTTCAATTACTTTCTTTATTAATAAAATAATAATTTTTAATTAATTTTGTTCTGGCTCAAGGGATATGGCGTTTTAGGTCTTCTCCCTCCTTTTTATAATCAAATTTTTCCTTAGGTTTTTTTTCTCTTTTGCATCTATCGGTCCCAAGTAATATCTTATTCACCGTACTATCTACGCATCGGTCCTATTAAGTATCAATCAAGTTTATCTTCCCCAAATGGATTTATCTTGACCCATTTTACTCATCCAGTTGGACTCGAACCCAACCAGACCCAATCTCTATGCACATATCATAGTCCCCAAGTCTTAAATTAGAAAAATATTTCTAATGCAAAGACTAAAATCCGAAATAAACGTCGAATATACTTCATCCCTTAATATTTCATGATATAATTACAAAGTTCAACCACTTAAAAGGAATAAACAACTATTAAAAATCAGACTTACAGTGACCGTCGTCTTGATGTAGAGTGTGAAAATTGCTTCCGGGAGTACTTGAATTTAGATGAAGATTAACCTGTTTTTACTCATACTCCAATTTAGATCGCATTTCGATCTTATTTCACATTCCGAACATAACTCGCATTCCGAGCATAGGTCGTATTCCGTTCATAGTGCGTATTTCGCACATAGCTCATATTCTGCACATAGCTCGTATTCTAAGCATAAGTCGCATTCCGAGCATAAGTCACATTCCGAGCATAAGTCCCATTCCTACCATAGTGCGTATTTTGCACATAACTCACATTCAAAACATAGGTTGCATTTCGTCCATAGTGTGCATTTCACACATAGCTCGCATTCCGAGGATACGTCATATTTCGACTACTATAGTGCACATTTCGCACGCATTCCGAGGATTTTCACAACTCAGGCACTGAGATTTAGTTCCTGCTTTACCATTTCCAATAGTGTCCTAAAGCAAATGAATAAACAGTATAACCGGGGTTAGATGAGATCCAAAGTATTGGGCGAGCCTGTTCTCTCTCTCTCAGAGTGGGGTTGAAGCAAAGGCTGAGTCTTGGCACAACAGTACATTTACTATCTTCAGCCTTGATGATCATTAGTTTTAGTGGTGGTAACAGTATCCTCGTACACACAAAAGTAAGGTTTTGTACATCGAAGCCACACCAGAACCCCACAATCTCTCTGCATATGGGAGTAAGATGGCTGCATATAACAAATCCTCCTCAGACTTTAACATGGTGTTAGCCTTATGCACAGGGATTCCATTCAGGGGTGCCATGATAAAAGACTAATTCTTTAACAATAGTATTTCCGATTTCTTTCTCAACTCAAGTTCACATTAAATACGAAATAGAATATCCCTTAGATATAAGTAGTAGTTTGCAAGAGTACATAAGATATTATTATAAATGAACCAAGAGCATAGAACAACAAGAAGTAGACTTTGTCCTAATAGATTTATCAAGGGATGTATCAATATTCAAATTGCATTAACATATATATGGCTAAACAAATTACGATGAAAGACACGAAATTGGCTTTCACTAAATATACTACTCAAATAATTTATAAAAGTATATTTATTTGGGAGCTGATAAGGAGAGAGAAAAGATATCAAAGAAATCAGAGAAGGCCAAAGTGTTGGGAATGGGAAATTAACAATTTTCCTTTCTTTTGTTCTAATGCTAAAACTTTTATATTGCTCATACTAAGCAAATAACACTCTAAAAATCAACCATTTCACATCACTTCCCCACGACACACTAACACCCCCGAGCTGTTCTAAAGTGCCAAAACCGAGGCCAAATACTTAAAAAAAACCTTCTCATTACGATTGTGGTCGTGCAAAACAACTTAAAAAATAAAAACTTGATCTGTTTCCTTTTCGTTATTATCCGATCAGGTAGTAAAAACAAAACTTGAGGGGTGAAAGTGAAACCCATCCTGGCAAACACGAACCAAGGGCGAGTAGAGGAACGCATTACTTCTTCGCCGAAGGTGGATTTCCCGCTTCCCGGTGCTCCCACCAATATCACCAAAACGGGCTTCCCCTCTCTAGGTGCAGAAGTTTCGTCCACGTCCATCATGTCCATTTTCAAGCTCGAGCCTAGTTCGTCAAATTGTCATTGTTATGCAACTTAGGCGTAAGATTATTAGCTGACTCCATCCATTAAAACTTCCAGCAATGCTACCTACGCCAAAATTGCTGAATTAACATACTAAAAGCAAGTAAGCAACATGACTACATCAAACACCTAAGATTCCAAAATTGAATTTTGTACTGATGTGTGTAAGAAAGAAAGAAAGCAATAATAAATGAGTGAAAGAAAATAATTGCTTATACTTTCAGAGTAAGCAAACTTCCAACACACATACTGGATTCAGCTAAACAATGCAAATAGTTAGGCGACCAACGTTCATTCAGCAACCAAACTAAAAGAATCAAGTATAGCCCAAAGATCCAATATTTAAACAGAACAAAAATTGCTAAAGGTTAGGGTCAAATAAAGAATAAAATACATTAATAAAATGAAATAAAAAATAAAAAAGAGGATACTTAAGATGCATTGTTGGGAGTTATTAAGCTTGGGGAGCTTGTCTGCAAGTATCTGCTCTTTGAAAACGCTATTCATGTTCTTCAATACTGCTCCCTCACCAGAAACAATTCAAGTAAAACCTATGCCACTGTGAAAAACTAGGAATAGACCATCTCAATTGAACTGTAAAACCCTAAAACAGAATCGGAACCGAAAGGAGCAAAAGAAAAAGCTCTTTTGAAAATCCGAACAAGAAGCGAAAGCGAAGTATAGAAAAGAAGATGAATTTGAGCAGGGATAGCAGCGGGAACACTGCTGGGAACCGAGGAGACCAATTAAAACGACCACGTTTTGGGCAAATCAGAATTCAGAGAGATCTTGTACAGAGAAGAAGAAAAATTAACAGAGATAGAGAAGCGGCTTAGGGTAAACCTCGTCAGGTTATTGACTGTTCTTATTGATTTGGTTGTTGGTAGTAGTCAATATGATTATTTTGGACGTGTGGGGCAAATATATGATGTTTTAGGTTTTTTTTTTTTATAATCAAATTTTTTGTTAATTTATTTTTTCTTTTGTATTTATGAGTTTCTATAATATCTTATTTCCTGGATTATTTATATATTGGACAATTAAGTAGAATCTCAATCTAATTAGATCACATACTAAATTTAATATAATATTAATAAACAAAATTATATATTAAATTTTTTTATTTTTAATTTTTAAAAATATCAAGACTCTTAATAATAAAATTTCACATTTATGTTTATAAGATGATTGATACATCATCTTTAACTTAGTGAATAAATAACATAAAAGATTCGATGCATAAGACAATTTTATTATGCAGGAGTGATATTTTGACATCTACTCATTAAAACAGCTTCCTATATAACCCCTTTTTATTAATATAATAATAATAAAAAGATTTAATAAAAATATAATAATAATAAAAATATTTAATAAAAATATAATAATAATAAAAAGATTTAATAAAAATAAAAATAGATTAAAATTATTATTATAATAATATAATAGTAGTAAAAAATTTAATAAAAGTATAATAATAGTAAAAAGATTTAATAAAAATATAATAATAATAATAAAAAGATTTAATAAAAATAAAAATAGATTAAAATTATTATTATAATATCAAAAATAAGTTATTTTTTAAAGTTATATGAAATGGGATTGTTAAAGTAATATTTTTCTATTATTATATATTATATAATATAATAATCCAATAAGATAAGATATTAATGTGTTGGATTGTTGACATTGTTTTATTATTACTAATATTATTAATATAAAATACGTAACTTTAAAACGTGATAACTTAGTTGATTAAAAAAATAATTTTTTTTTATTTGAATTTATAATACAAAACTTATCTTTTAAGATATATTATTTGAATTTATAACTTATTAATATCAGTTATTTTATAATTTTTTGTTGCTATCATTCCTTTGTTTTGTTTCATTTTATTCATAAGTCACTAATTAATCTAAAAAAAGTTCACATCCGACCTTAATTAAAAAGTCACTAATTAAGTTTATCTGTTCAAATCTTAACCTAAAAAATATACACATCCCAACCTTTTTATTAATATAATGATAGTAAAAAGATTTAATAAAAATAAAAATAAATTAAATGAATAGTGGTTCAGGGAGAGGGAGGGGGAGGAGGGATGCGATTAACAGAGGCGGAGGTGGAGACAGAATCGGAATTGGCAACATGGAGAGGGCCATCGCCGACAGAGAGGATTGTCCAAAGCCAAACGACTTTGGCGGCGGCGAGGAGGGAGGGAGAGACTTGCGGGGGATGCGCGAGGAGAATGTTGTACCTACGCAGGCTGAGTTGGTGAAGCACGTTGGAGAAGTCTCTGTCACCGAATATGAGCATATAGTTAGCGGGTGAGGGATTGTCTACTGCCCACAGCAGCATGTCCACTAGGATCTTCTTGTTGCTCGCATCTTTCACACCTGATAAAATCAATCAAACTATCAAGCGAAAAGAGTCACGTGAGTGAGTGAATATGTGTGCGTGGTCACAAGTTCGTGTTTGAGCATGATTACCGGCGGGGATGTGGTTGAGAGCGACACCGGTGCTGAAGAGGGCATGCTGGACGGGCAGCGAAATGCGGTTGGTGTCGCCGTAGACAAAGATGGAGACGATACCAACGTAGTTAGAGTTGACGAGAAGAGAGGTTATGTTCTGCGAAATGTAGTGAGCGTCTTGGCCATTGGGAACGAGACAGTGGTGAATGTCCCACCACACCGAAATCTTGGCACGTGAGTATGCCATGGAAGTGGTTTGCCCTTCATTGTCCGCCATCCACACGCACCCACTAAAATTCTTAATTTCTTGGTCTAAGATCAGGGTTATATATATATAAAAGTGACTGATATTTTTGGGAGCGGAAGGGGCGTGACCCCCAAAATTTTTTAATTCCTATTTAATTTATGATTTTTGTTCCAATGAACATTTAATATATTTATCTGTATATTTATAATTCTATCCTCTCAGCCCCTCCTCAATTTTGTAACTCTCATATAAATTATGATTTTGACTCGTCAAACTTAATAATGATCATTTAATATATTTAAGTATATATCTATAATTTTATTATTTCACCCTTTCATCTTCTTTCTTCCTTTTATATTTATTTATTATTTATTAATAATATATTATTTGGTCATCTCAAGATCAATGGTCAAGATCCGTCATATATACATATATATATATATATATATATATATATATATATATATATATATATATATATATATATTTATATCACGGGTATATCTTTTATTTATATATTTTATTTATATATAGAATAAAATATTATAAAATATTAAATATTAATAATATTTTAATCATAACTTCCTAAATCAAAATAATAATTTAGTATCTTTTTATCTTCTCTTAAAAGATAATAAAAATATCTTAATACCTAATTTAAATAAAAAAATATCTTAATACCTAATTTAAATAAAAGATAATAAAATAATATTTGCAATACCTATTATTTTTAAAACTACTCTATTTTAATCTAATAACAAAATTAATACATATGATCACACACAAAATTTTTATATGTTTTATAACTTACGTTTTTACATAATTATTACTTTAGTCTCTATATAAGAAAGGGATTGATATTGGTTTGAGTAACCCAATTTTAAATATATGTAATTGCTAACTTTCTTTTATACTCTCAATTTATTGTTAATTTTATTAATGAAATGTCCACTAATTCTCCGATACATTTGTTTTTGTACATGACACAATTTTGGTATTTTTTTTTATCAAAGTTGTATTTGATGACACAAATTATATAAATCATTTTTTTTAAATTGATACCATTATTATTTTTATTTTTTACTTTTTATATATTTATTTTAATTATACGATAATATTATATTTTTACCATTTTATACGTAAGATTGTAAATTCACAAGTAACAAAATTTAAATTATAATAATAGTTAAAATAAACAAAATATATTAATATTAAAAATAAAATATATTACATTATTATTGTGCAGCTGGACAATTGTTATTATTATGACCTTAGTAAGTAAGAAGACCTATCACTCATATTTTTGAAGACTCTGCATGGCGGATTGCAGCAAGTCCTTGCAATCGTCGAGGGCCATCTTAATGCCACTGTCTTTGTCTCCGTACTCGATTTGTGAGCCGATCACTCGTATAGAACGCTTTGACACGGTGGCTTTCACCGCCTTAGAGATGTAAGCCTTGGGGTTAGTGGCGTTAGCGACGGATTTTGATGATTAATATTGAGAAGATAGAATAATATATTATTAATAAATAAATATAAAAGAAATAAATAAAATAAAAGAGTAAAAAAATAAAATTGTAGATATATATTTAAATATATTAAATAATCATTAAATTTGGGGTTAATAAGATAAACTTATAAATATATAAGTAAATATATTAAATATTTATTAAGTTTAAGCAAGTAAAAATCATAAATTATATTAAAGATACAAAATTTTGGAGAGTCACGATCCCCTCATCTCCCAAGAAGTCCGCCACTACCCTTGACGGAGTTGAGAGTGTCATGGCGAATTTTTTACATGGTTGGATCTGGATTTTTTTTTACTAGTTAATAGATTTAAAAATTCAGAATAAATGGAGTTCTGATTATACAATATTTTGTACCGCTGTACAAACCTATAATTTAGCTAATCAAATATTTTTATCTTAACACTCCCCCTCAAGTTGGTAAATGGATGTCATACATTCCCAACTTGTCCAATAATCTCCTAAAATCTGACTTGTCACAACTTTGGTAAGAATGTCTGCTAGCTGATTTTCAGATCGAATATTTGGTAATTCCAGAATATTTTTGTCAAGTTTTTCCTTGATGAAAAATCTATCAACCTCCACATGCTTCTGATCATGTTGGACAGAGTTGTGAGCAATATCGCGCGCAGCTTTATTATCACAATACAATTGAATGAGACATGTATGTGCATACCCTAACTTTTGCATTAGATCTAGCTACAACTTTATGCTTCTTGCTTTTTTATGTGACAAGATTACCTCCTACAAATATAAAGTATCCAGAGGTTGATCTTTTATCATCAATAGCACCTACCCAATCTGCATCAGTATAAATCATCACATCCTTGTAGTTGGAATTCTTCTTGAACATAACTCCTTTTTCAATAGCAGTTTTTATGTACCTTAAAATTTGTATAACAACATCCATGTGTTTTTCACCTGGATTGTGCATGAACTGGCTAACCACACTAAGAGCATAAGCTAAATCTGGTTTGGTATGTGAGAGATACATCAATCTCCCTACAAGTCTCTGATATCTTCCCTTGTTAGTAGGAGTTTGATCTTCTTCAATGCACAATTTCAATCCTCCTTCAATTGGAGAATTTGTTGGTTTGCATGCTGTCATTCCAGTTTCTTTCAGTAAATCCAATGCATACTTTTGTTGTGAGAAAAAATACCTGACTTTGATCTTGAGACCTCAATTCCAAGAAAGTACTTCAAAGGACCAAGATCCTTCATCTCGAATTATTTTGTCAAGTACTATTTCAATGTCTTACGTTCCTCTAGATCGTCTCCCGTAACTATCATATTATCAACATAGATAATAAGAATTGTAATTTTTCCTTCCTTTTTCTTTAGAAACAAGGTATGATCTTGGTTGCTCTGTTGATATCCAAAAGCATGCATTGACTTGGTGAATCTACCAAACCATGCTCGTGGCGATTGTTTGAGTTCATACAATGATTTCTTCAACTTGCATACCTTCTTGCTATGTGTATTCGAGATTCCACATCCTTCTAGTAGCTATATAAACTTCTTCAGACAATTCCCCGTGTAAGAAGACATTTTTTACGTCAAATTGTTGTAAGGACCATTCAAGGTTTACAACTAGAGATAACAATACTCGAACTGTACTAATTTTGGCTATGAGAGTAAACGTTTCAGTGTAATCTATTCCATATGCTTGTGCATACCACTAATCTAGCTTTGAATCTCTCAATTGTGTTATTTGCATTAAATTTCAGTATACACCCATCGACATCCTATTGGTTTCTTTCCAACTGGACAATTTACCAATTCTCATGTTTTATTTCTTTGCAAGGATCTCATCTGTTCATTCATAGCATCCTTCCACCTGGAGTCAGCTAAAGCTTCCTGCACACGGTTAAGAATAGATATAATAGATAATTGACTTATAAATGTGATATTTGAGTTAGACAAATTCTGGTTACAAATATAATTACTCATATGATATCTTGTCTGACTGCTTCTTTGTCATCATAGCTTTTAAATGATTTGTTGGCTGCTTCTTTGTCATCATAACTGTGAAATTAGAGATCATATCTTCTGTTTTCAACGTTGTTTGTCGGACTGTCTCTCTCCGGATCAATGTATAACATTCTTCTAAATCAGGTGTCACTTCCTTTCACAAGATTTCTTCATGAACTTGCTTAAAATCATCATCTAGTCTAGCAAGGAATATATGTACCCTCAATCTTTCAATGGACTTTTGATATGACTTCACATCATCAGGTCCTTCATGACTACTTTCTCACGATGATCCAATTCCCTAAAAATTTCAACCAACTCCCCATAATATTTAGTTAAGGTTCTATTATTTTGTTTTACAGTGAATGCCCTTTGATGCAGTAGCTCATCACTTCCATCATAAAACGTCTTTGACAAAACATTCCAAATATCGAGGGCAGTGGGTAAGCGGAGATATATTTTCATGATTTATGGCTTCATGGACATCAGTAGCCATCTTTTCACTTTTTGGTTTTCAATATACCATTTTTCATATCCTCATCTTTCTCTGTTGGAGGCTTCACGTTCTCACGGATGTAGGACAATTTTTCCCTCTTTGCAATGTGCATCTCCATTAGTTGTGACCATACGTCATAATTGGATTCATTTAGTATGATGCTTACATTGAAGACACTTTCATATTGAACTATCACTGGAATTGGTTTTTCTGTCATCTCTTCAGTTAAGATCTCCAAGGATTTAGAAAGAAAGAAAAAATTTTAAGCTCTAATACCAAGTTGAAAAACACAGAATTCATTCTATATTTTATTCATATTATTTTTTTACACAGATAATATGATCTTATAATATTTTATTTCAACAAATCAGGACTAAATAAAGGAAGTTTTGATTATACAATATTTTGTATCATTATACAAATCTATAATTTACCTAATCAATTATCTTTATTTCAATAAATATTAAACCACTCAAATGGAAGACATAAATTACATGTAAAAGTCAATTTTAGGTTTTAAATGTTTTCATTCTTAATTATACGAAACATGAACATCCTAACACGAATAGTGTGGAAGTGAACTGTGACCAAGGGCATGGTAAAATAGCTCAGAGAAGATTTCTCTCAGTGAAAGAAAAACGCACCAAGGGGAATACTTGTTGTGCTACATTTTAATTACCATTTTACGGTGCAGGCAGGTCATGGAGAAAATGAGGAGGCATAGCAGATGATGAACCATATCATTTTCAAATAAAATTAGCAGTAGCAAGTGATAGTTCAAGAATCATCAATCAGTTAAGAGAGGTAATGCGGAAGAAACAGAACCTCCACCGCATGGTCAGGCCAAGCCCTATACAAGAATGAATCAATTTACTACTGGATATATTTTAAACATGAAACTAATCTGCTCTGCCAAAAGAATATGTATGTTTCCTCAGCTCTGTTTTCTTTCTGCTTTTTGTTTTTCCCCTCTCCTTTTGGAAGGAGGCGTCTTCGTTCTTTTCGGGAATAAAGTTTAAGACATACTTTGATTTGGTTCCTCTAAGCTCTGTCTCTAAAAGCTAGGTTTCTGCTAAGTTGACTTTCCAATATAATTCTTTACAGCATCTATCTTGAGCTAGATTGCCGCTAAGCTGGTTTTCGTCCAAATCCAAGATGAGACATCCGTGCCGAAGCCATTAAAGGTGCTTCTCCATCTAAATGAGTATCAGAAACTGAATCATTCCATAGAGTCTCCTCTCTTGTCTATGTCATCATCTGCATTTTTCTGTGTCTGCAGCTCCTATATTTATTTGAGAAAACAAAGAAGAAAAGTTGAAATCATACTTGAACGAAGAGCTAGTAAATCAAAGGTGCAAAAATTAACATTAACAGCAAAAGTTGCAACAAATTCAGCTGAAAGAGAAGGAGAAAATGAGAACAGATCAACAATTGGTCTCAGTCTAAGCTGTTTTGGAAGAAATAATCAACACACAAAGCATTGAGAAGTTTATTTCATAATTTTCTTATTATTTTTTTTTTCTAAAAGTGTTTATGGAGAAACTTACTCAAATAGATCTAATGTGTAATGCATAATGTCTGAACTCAACTTTTTTATAGCTTACTAACAAATGAATGTTAAAAAAAGGAAGAAAACTGCTTTACTTTTCAAAAAAATAAAAACATGTGAACAATGTTTTGGAAAAAAAATAAAAATACTGCATATACTTTTCTATGATACTATTAATAATAACTGAGTTGCACAAGATTTTTATATGTTTTATAACTTACGTTTTTACATAATTATTACTCCAGTCTCTATATGAGAAAGGGATTGATATTGGTTTGAGTAATCTAATTTTAAATATATATATATATATATATATATATATATATATATATAATTGCTAATTTTCTTTTATACTCTTAATTTATTGTTAACTTTATTAATGAAATGTACACTAATTCTCCATATAATAGATGCATTTGTTGTCCTAATAACAATATAAGTCATATTTTGTCCTATGATTTATGTGTAGTGTCATTAAATATTACCACTATTTATACTATTTGGTGCTATCACTATTTTTGGAATAAAATTTAAGCTCCTCAAAGTATTAATTAAAATTAACTAATTTATTTTTATCAGTCTTGATTAATCAGTAATTTGTTTCTTATACTCCCTCCATCCATTTTGATTGTCATGTTAGGAAAAAAAAATCTCAACATGATTGCCATTTAAGCTTTGCAATGGAGTATTAATTAATTTTTTTTCCATTTATACTTAAAATTAGTAATGCGTAACAAGTGGAGTGAGGTAATAAAAATTAAAAAATAAAATAATTGTAGTATGGTTAATTTAGTAAAAATAATATTCTCTATCATCTATTTATTGAGTTTTTTTGGTCTGTGTAAAAAAAAAAACTAGGATAACAATCAAAATGGAACGGAGGGAGTATCGAATAAAATTTTACATGAATATTCAAAATGGAATCACCATTCAACGCATCTAACCGACGAAAATAGGCCAACAGCCAATAAAGCATTAAAACTGATCAAACTACAACACAAAGAGAAGTTATTTAAAAGGCTCACCTTTACTGATTCATCTTGGATATTTTGATGCTGAGATGTGCCAACATCTCGGACCTTAATGTAGTTGTAAATAACGACACCAATTAAAGCTGCCCATTCAGAAATATTCATATTAAGAGACACTTATAATAAATCCATGCAATGAATGAAATTAAACTGCTACAATGTATTTTCAGCGAAGGAGCATATTCCAGTAGCGTAGCCAATAATATTAAGACTGGTAATCATTGATTCAGGAAATAAGACAGTTGAAAGAGTGATAAGTAACCAGTCTTTCAAAACACCAGCCACCCGAATAGTTACTGTCCCAGTTCTACCAATCACTAGGAATGTGGAAAGATTCAATGCGAAGGCACAAACAGTATTTGAGAAAAATATCCAGAAGTTAAACTGCATACACGTGGATCTTCCATCTCAGGTTTCTCGAGGATGTACCATGGGATAAAAAGAAATACAAAGCTGCGAACAGTAAAGTGCAAATGGTCACCATTCAAGCAGGTAAAACAAAAGTATGAATTTGAACTTTAATGAACTGTGACATTTTCAATACACAGATATACCAAAAATATACCAACCAATCAAAGTGAGTGTTAGAGAGAACTGGCAGCTATACCTATGTCTAGGGTTACCCTACGAAGCAATCAGAGAAAGGAAAAATTGAGATGCAAAATATCTCTTATTGTCATTCCTTAAGAGCTTTGCAGGATAAGTAGGGCAACACTGGCTAGTGGGAATGGTAGCTGGTTGTTTAGGCGAAACATTAACAATATTGTACACATCAAGCAATTTTACTGAGGTCCATAAAAATCCTAGGTGAAATTCAGGTTTATCTATACTTTGGCCTTTTAAGGATTTAGGCTGGTGGCGCATCAGTGCAGCATAAATAAAAGGCATAAACACAGAACCCAAGAAGGAAGCAACACATCATTTACAGGTGAAACACAATATCAAACCACAGGCCTTCATTTGATTCATAAGAATAAGCACCAAATTAATCAAAGATACTCAAAAAAAGTCATATTGATAAAAATAACTTTATTAAATACATTAGAAGAACATAAGATCAGAACATATCAAAATAAATCATCATGATTTGCTAGTTCCTAAATCACTTCATAGTGATCCTTTATCTAACCCATTATACCATGTATATTCCTTCACCCAGAGAATAAGATAGATGGTGAAAAATAGGCAGACAGAAAATTCTCAGCGGGTATGACCGATGTGAGTATATGGCATTTTGACTATAAGCTTGCCTCAACACAATAAGCTAATATTAACAATAACAAAATGTCAAAATACGTAGCGAGGGATGCAAATCCTACAATATTCAGTGACATTCTAAACATACATACAGGTCAAAATCAACATCAGCAACCCATATAGATGAAAAGAGGTTTCATTTCCTTTCTTTCCTCCTATCAGCATAAGCAGAACTATATATGGGCTTTCAAATACTTAAGAACAGATCTACCTGCAGGGTGCTATGTAATACAAGCTGGTAATAGGGTTTAGTGTCAAGCAGTGGCGGATCTTGACCATTGATATTGGGGGGGTCAAATAATATATTATTAATAAATAAAAAATAAATATAAAAGGAAGAAAGAAGATGAAAGGGTAAAAGGATAAAAGGATAAAATTATAGATATATATTTAAATATATTAAATGATCATTAGGTTTCAGGAGACAAAGTCATAAATTATATGGGAGTTACAAAATTGAGGAGGGGCTGAGAGGATAGAATTGTAAATATACAAGTAAATATATTAAATGTTCATTAAGTCTGGGGGGGCCAAAATCTTAAATTACATGGAAGTTATAAAACTTTGGGGGGGCCACAGCCCCCCTCAGCTCCCAAGAAGATCCGTCACTGGTGTCAAGCCTTTTTTTTGAAGAAGAACTTGAGTTAATACCAGCCTCAAAGCTTCGGCAATTATTCCTGTAACCTGATAAACTGTACCCAGCACATTAAATTGAATTTCACCATAGGAGGAAATGACAACTCCAACACTGACCAGTAGCATGTTCCAGAATAATAACTGAAAAAAAAAAACTGCATATACTTTTCTATGATACTATTAATAATAACTGAGTTGCACAAAGTTTTTATTTCTTTTATACTCTTAATTATTTGTTAACTTTATTAATGAAATGTCCACTAATTCTTCGTACAATAGATGCATTTGTTGTCCTATTAACAATATAAGTCATACTTTATCCTATGATTTATGTGTAGTGTCATTAAATATTACCACTATTCACTACTGCAGAAAAGGCTTTTTACATCGGTTAAAATGGGCTTTCAACGTCGGTTAAAGCGGCGACATAGATACGGGGGTCATAGAAAGTAAGGCTTTCTACGTCGGTTCCTAATAACCGACGTAGAAAGTAAGACTTTCTACGTCGGTTAATAGGAACCGACGTAGAAAGCCCTACTTTCTTTGAGCTATTATGATCGGTCAAACTGGTTATGATCGGTCATAGAGATATTCTGATCGATCATAACTGGTTCTGATCGGTCATAGAAAGACTTTCTACGTCGGTTAGTCAGGGAACCGACGTAGAAAGTCTTATTTTGTATGAGCTATTCTGATCGGTCATAACTGGTTCTGATCGGTCATGAAGCTAATCTGATCGATCATAACTGATTCTGACCTGTCATATTACTTTCTATGTCGGTTAACACTTATAACCGACATAGAAAATCTTACTTTCTATGTCGGTTAAAATTATAACCGACATAGAAAGTCTTACTTTCTAACTTTCTATAACCCCTATGTCGGGTAACATTTAACCGACATAGAAAGTTAATTTTCTATGTCGGGCAACATTTACCCGACATAGAAAGTGACCTTTCCACTTACTATGTCGGTTAAAACTTACCCGACATAGAAAGTTTATGATTTTATTACAAAATTGCCACCGCGCCACATACTATGACGGGTGGATTACGACCGTGATAAAAACCCGTCATAGAAAGCTATTTTTCCACTAGTGATTTACATTGTTTGGTTCTATCACTATTGTTGGAAGTCCCACGTATGAGTAGCAACATTCCCAACATGAGGAATCGAAGTTTCGTCATTCAACATGTTCTATAAGCCACATTTTTTCTTCTGTAACACGTATTTCTTTATTCTGATGTTCTCATTTTATTCATCGGTTTTGTAGATGATTGAAAAATATCAACGAACATCTTTCTAGAAAATAAGAAGATAAGTACTCAAAAGATTTTTATTATTTTTCCACTCTTATTTACATGAGATAGTATGTAAAGTGTCCGAATTGTTACTCTAATCCCTTCTGCTCTTCCGATTTGGAGTCAACTGTTAGGAGACGGGTGGGTTTAACAGAGGCGAAGGCAGAGTCAGAATCGGCAACGTAGAAAGGGTCACCGTCGGCGGAGAGGATTGTCCAATGCCAAACAACTTTGGCGGCAGCGAAGAGGGAGGGAAAAACTTGCGGCGGATGCGCGAGGAGAATGTTGTAACTTCGCAGGCTGAGTTTGTGAAACGCGGTGGAGAGGTCTATGTCGCCGGATATGATCAAGTAGGTAGGGGGAGCGGGATTGTCTAGTGCCCATATCAACATGTCCACTAGGATGTTCTTGTCCCTATCTTTCACATCTGATAGAGACAATCAAACGGTCAAGCGAAAAGATTCATGTGAGTGAGTGAATATGTGTGCGCGTGTGTTCAAAAGACTGTGTTTGACCGTGATTACCGGCGGGGATGTGGTTAAGAGCGACGCCGGTGCTGGAGAGGGCGTGCTGGATGGGCCGCAGAATGCGGTTGATGTCGCCATAGGCAAAGATGGAGACGACGCTGACGTAGTTGGAGTTGACGAGAGCGGAGGCTATATTCTGCGAGACCGGAGTTAGCGTCTTCACCGTTGGGAACGTGACAACGGTCAATGTCCCTTCACACAGAAAGTTTGGCCTGCGAGTACGCCGTGGAGGTTGCCCCTGGATTGCCAGCCATTCACACGCACCCACTGAAATTCTTTATTTTTTGCACCCACTGAAATTCTTGATTTCTTGGTCTCGAAGAATAAAATATGATCATGCACTACTAATTCACCTATATATATTTATATATATATATATATATATATATATATATATATATATATTTTGTTGAGTTGATATTTTTCCTTCGAAAATGAATCAAAAGCATGAGTAATTAGATGAAACCTATGCATAGTACGGACATAAAACTCAAAAGTAACAAGTTATATAAAAATATTCTTTCACATTTGAATTTTATACCACTCTAAAAAAAACTGTTTTTTAATATTATAATAATAATATACATGTATTTTAATTTTTATTAAATCTTATTATTATTATTATTATTATATTAAAAAGGAGTGTATTTGAAGTTTTAAAAAAAATGAGATGTCAAATATTACTCGTTGTTATTTTTTAATATTATAATAATAATATACATGTATTTTAATTTTTATTAAATCTTATTATTATTATTATTATTATATTAAAAAGGAGTGTATTTGAAGTTTTAAAAAAAATGAGATGTCAAATATTACTTGTTGTTATTTTTTAATATTATAATAATAATATACATGTATTTTAATTTTTATTAAATCTTATTATTATTATTTGTTACTCTAATCCCTTCTACTCTTCCAATTTGGAGTCAAATGTTCGGAGAGGGGTGGGTTTAACAGAGGCGGAAGTAGATTTGGAATCGACAACTTAGAGAGGGCCACCGCCGGCGGAGAGGATTGTCCAACGCCAAACGACTTTGGTGGCGGCGAAGAAGGAGGGAGAAACTTGCGGCGGATGCGCGAGAAGAATATTGTAACTTCGCAGGCTGAGTTTGTGAAGCGCGGTGGAGAGGTCTATGTCGCCGGATATGATCAAGTAGTTAGCGAGAGCGGGATTGTCTAGTGCCCATATCAACATGTCCACTAGGATGTTCTTGTCCCTATCTTTCACATCTGATTGAGACAATCAAACGGTCAAGCGAAATGAGTCATGTGAGTGAGTGAGTATGTGTGCGCGTGTGTTCACAAGACTTTGTTTGAGCGTGATTACCGGCGGGGATGCTGGAGAGGGCGTGTTGGATGGGTCGCGGAATGCGGTTGATGTCGTCGTAGGCAAAGATGGAGACGGCGCCGACGTAGTTGGAGTTGACGAGAACGGAGGCTATTTTCTACGAGACAGAGTTAGCGTCTTCACCGTTGGGAACGTGACAGCGATCAATGTCCCATCACACAGAAATTTTGGCCTGCGAGTATGCCATGGAGGTTGCCCCTGGATTGCCAGCCATTCACACGCACCCACTGAAATTCTTTATTTCTTGGTCTGAAGAATACAATATGATCATGCACTACTAATTCACCTATATATTTATATATATATATATATATATATATATATATATATATATATATATATATATATATATATATATATTTTTTTTTTTTGAGTTGATATTTTTCCCTCGAAAATGAATCAAAAGCATGGGTAATTAGATGAAACCTATGCATAGTACGAACATAAAACTACCTACGAACATAAAACTCAAAAGTAACAAGTTATATAAAAATATTCTTTCACATTTGAATTTTTATACCACTCTAAAAAAACTATTTTTTAATATTATAATAATAATATACATGTATTTTAATTTTTATCAAATCTTATTATTATTATTATATTAAAAAGGAGTGTATTTGAAGTTTTTAAAAAAATGAGATGTCAAATATTACTCGTTGTTATTTTTTAATATTATAATAATAATATACATGTATTTTAATTTTTATTAAATCTTATTATTATTAATTGTTACTCTAATCCCTTCTACTCTTCCAATTTGGAGTCAACTGTTCGGAGAGGGGTGGGTTTAACAGAGGCGGAAGCAGAGTCGGAATCAGCAACTTAGAGAGGGCCACCGCCGACAGAGAGGATTGTCCAACGCCAAACGACTTTGGCGGCGGCGAAGAAGGAGGGAGAAACTTGCGGCGGATGCGGGAAAAGAATATTGTAACTTCGCAGGCTGAGTTTGTGAAGCGCGGTGGAGAGGTCTATGTCGCCGGATATGATCAAGTAGTTAGCGGGAGCGGGATTGTCTAGTGCCCATGTAGACCCCAAATCTTGCCCGGCCTCCAAATAAAGAGTAGAAGACCTCCTATTCGAAGATGGACGAAGCCTAGAAAGCCACTAGGAGAGACTATTAGGCCACATACTAGGATAGGAGAAATTTTCTGCACAAAAATAAGGTTTCTCGCCTTTTTGGGGACGAGACCGCCGTCTCGAAATCGAGACCGTCATCTCGCCACCTGCGAATGGCGAGACGGCGGTCTCGCTTTCCCGGACGGCGGTCTCGCCACCTGCGAAGGGTGAGACGGCGGTCTCGACCCTGTCAGACGAGACGGCGGTCTCGACCTGTCAGGCGCGAAAACCTATAAATAGGGGGCTCCATTCCCTCATTTCCACACAGTTTTTCCTCATTCTCTCTAGAAATCACTTAAGTTTCTCTCTCTAGAATCCCTACGAAGCATTTCCGGAGTTTCTGAGCATTTCTAAGAGTGTTTTCGAGCGTTCCGAGAGGTTTTCCGACGCTGTAGAGTGAAGGGTTGCCGCAAAGCACCCTAAATTTTAAAGAATTGATAGAAAAGCTTGCTTCGGAGGTTTATATTCTCCCTCTCTATTTTTACCGCTTTAATTTTAAATTATACAATTGATATTAGGGTCATGTAGTCGTAATTTTAAATTCTGCAGAATAAAAGGGTAAAAGCGTAATTTTCACCGATTTAGATATTTTTTAAATAGCTGGCCTGTCATAGGGAACCCGAAAGGGGCATCGTAAAGGAACTAATACTTCCTTTACACGTAACTAACTCTCTTACCCAACTCTGGTTCTAACGACCAAAGTTGGTTTTTCGAAAAACTAACGCCTTTTAACTCCTTTTCCGATGTTTCCGGTAAAAATATCGGTGGCGACTCCACAGAACCTTTCAAAACTAGCTTTTGGATTAGCCCGGTTATCAGACAATCCAAGAGCGCCTTTCCGAAAACCTCGCCCCTAGGTTCAGCCCGGTTATCGGACAACCTAAAGGCGTTGTAACCACCAACAGAAAACGCGAAAATCAAGAGGATCGAAACCATCGCGTCGCTCCGACCGCCCTCATTTTTTTACGGCGGCGACAGATGGCGACTCCACTGTGGAAACCTCGAGAGTTGATCCCATTTAGTGATGGACCAGCTTAAAAATAAATAAACCAAGAAAATAACGCTTTTACCCTTACCTTGTATTATAACATGTTTTACGGTTTGACTTTAATAATTGTTGCTTGTTTATACTTACGCAATTGTTTGAAATACAAACTGTACACAAACCCTTGCACACAACAGTTCCCTCTATACCCGGGGGCAAGTGAGAAATCCATAGGGAGTGGGTGGCAGATTCGGTTCGCTGTAGTGATGGCCTTGTGCCCACCGGTGTGATCGGAAACCACCACTCAAGGTGATAACCTTCCTCTTTTGGCAACAAGACTGACTATGGCCTTAGTGCTAAGCATGGTCGGAAGGCTGGAGAGTGGGGACCCTATAATGGGGGCACCTTGGGGGCCTTAGCCTGGTGAGAACAGTTAGAACCTACCCTCGCCAATGCACTTTTCTGTAGGAAAACCCTACCTCGTGATAAAAACGAATTCTCGCCTGTTCGTGGATGATCGAATTGTGTGCGCATATGTTTGCTGCATTTGTCTATTGCATAGCATAAACAAACAACAAAAATCACAAAAATATTTTCGCAAATAAACGCCCTTATCTCGGACAGTCTGCCTTTTAGTTAGCCTGGTTTCAGGTTCTTTGTAAGCTAAGTAGTCACGCAGTTCCGACAGAAGAGATAAGGGACGCTAAATATTTTTTTCGCATAAAGCCACATTTTATCTCGGACAGTGTGCCTTTTAGCTAGCCTGGTTTCAGGTTCTTTGTACGCTAAGTAGTCACGCAGTTTCGACAGAAGAGATAAAAGGCTATAAAAAATAAAAATCCAAGTCAATACCAGGAAATAAGTCAACTTTTGACCAAGTCGAATCATTCATATTACATCATATCATGAGTAAAGAAAAACCAAGAGAGAAAATAAAAAGTGAGAATACATTCAGCATCATTTAAATAAGATTCCTCATACATGCACATATTCATTTTAGTTCAAACACTCAACATGCATTAATAAAGTTCTTCCGGGCATTCTAGAAAGTGGCTGGTCCTCGCCCCGTCCGCACCCGAGCGCAAAAAGCCAAAGCAATGGAAAATTTAGAGGAGCAAAACCGAAAGCTCACTGCGGAGGTCAATACCCTCCGCGAGCAAGTGGCCCAACTGATGGAGGTCGTACGCCAGGGTCAGAGTAAGGGCGAAGACCACGCTGAACACATCCCTCACCATGAGGAAGAGGAAGAGGAATACTTCTATGACGGGAAGGATGCCAAGACTGCACGCATCCTTACCCCAGAGGTATCCAAACAACAACTCTCCGCCCTGGAGGAGAGGCTCAAGGCGGTAGAAGGGCACAACTTCGATGTCAAGGAGGTGGCGGACATGTGCCTGGTGAAAAACATCCACTTCCCTCCTAAATTCAAAATCCTGGATTTCCCCAAATACGCCGGGATGACCTGCCCAAAGAACCATCTTATGATGTATTATCGTAAGATGGCCGCCCATGCTGAGAACGAAAAACTCCTGATCCACTGCTTCCAGGAGAGTCTGGCGGACACAACTCTCAATTAGTATATGCAGTTAGAGAGAGGGCAGATCCAGAGCTGGAAACAATTGGCTGACGCTTTTCTTCGCCGCTACCGATACAATATTGACCTGACCCCTGATAGGTCAGATCTCAGGACTTTGAGCAAAAGGAGCGACGAGCCTTTTAAAGCGTATGCCCAAAGATGGAGGGAAATGGCAGCCCAGATAGAGCCTCCTTTGACGGATAAGGAGACAGTGGCTATGTTCATCGATTCACTGACTGGAGCGTACTACGATAAGGCAATAGCCAGTACCTCCAACCTTTTCTCAGACATAGTCACTGTGGGGGAAAGAGTAGAGAAAGGACTGAGGAGCGGGAAGATAGCACAGTCTTCCCAAGTTGGTGTCTCATTCAGGAAGCCTGCTGGCAAGAAGAAGGACGAATCTGTGCATGCAATCAACTTTGCCACTCCTTCTTCTGCCCCGCAAACGGCCAGGCAGCCCCGCAAGAAAGAGAGGAAGTTCACTCCAATCTCCACTTCCTATGGAAAGCTGCTGCCTTAGCTGTTAGAGGCCAAACTCCTAACCCGCGTTCCTCCCAAGAAGCAGTTGGAACCTCCCTATCCCGAGTGGTATAAGCTGAACGAGAAATGTGACTACCACTCGGGTTCACCCGGGCACTCTATAGAAAATTGCATAACCCTTAAAGTACCGGGTTCAAGAATTGATCGACGCCGGGTGGATAACTTTTGATGCCTCTGCTTCCGATGTCGACACCAAACCTCTGTCGAAGCCAGAATAGCAGAAGGGCAGGACTGGGAGGATCAGCCCTAGGATGTTCTGTTTTTTTTAAGTTTTTCTCTATATCTCCTGCGGTCCCCGCCCGTGGCCGCAGGAATTTTGATTAAAAGGGCTTGTACATACATTTTCATTTTCCTTAATACACGAGGCATTCTATCATATTCATTATTTTCTCTCTTTTAATTATTATTCTTTCAAAGATAATCGAATAATAAAATCTATGACTAAAACAGAACCTAAAGCAAATCATGTCTGTAATTGATGAATCTTTGTGGACCCCGGAAACTGAAAGTGAATGGGTCGAGTCCGACAGTGAACATGAGACCATTTCTCCGGACATGCAAAGAATTTTGGAAAAAGAAGCACGCATCATACAACCGCATCAAGAAGAAACAGAAACTGTCAATTTGGGAGAAGGGGATGATGAGAAAAAGGTGAATATCGGCACCCAAATAAAAGATAGCGTAAGGGAAGAATTGATACAACTTCTAAAAGAATATATGGATGTATTTGCTTGGTCTTATCATGACATGCCTGGGCTCGACACGAGCATAGTAGAACATAGATTGCCTTTAAAAGAGGGGTTCCGACCTGTAAAGCAAAAACTCAGAAGAATCAAACCCGACTGGTCCTTAATGATAAAGGAGGAGGTGCAAAGGCAGTTGGATGCCAATTTCCTTGTAGTTTCCAAATACCCAGAATGGTTGGCCAACATAGTACCCGTCATCAAAAAGACCGGGAAGGTCAGGGTCTGCGTGGATTATAGGGACCTCAATCGAGCAAGTCCAAAAGATGATTTTTCCCTACCGCATATAGACACACTAGTAGACCATACCGCTACCAACACACTTTACTCCTTCATGGATGGGTATGCGGGATACAACCAAATCAAGTTGGCCGTTGAGGATAGAGAAAAAAACCTCCTTTATCACACCATGGGGCACCTTTTGCTATCGCGTAATGCCCTTCGGACTCAAGAATGCAGGGGCTACTTATCAAAGGGTTATGGTCACACTGTTCCATGACATGATCCACAAGGAAATAGAGGTGTATGTGGATGACATGATTGCCAAGTCCAGGAATGAGATGGACCACATTCATTATCTCAAAAAGCTTTTTGACCGACTCTGAAAGTATCAACTCAAACTGAACCCAGCAAAGTGTACTTTCGGAGTACGATCAGGAAAACTCCTAGGGTTCATTGTCAGCGAAAAGGGAATTGAAGTGGACCCCGACAAAACCAAGGCAATTTTGGAAATGCCTCCACCAAACACGGAAAAGGAGGTCAGAGGTTTTCTAGGCCGGATTAACTACATTGCCCGTTTCATCGCACAATTGACGAACAAATGTACCCATCTTTAAACTGTTCCGCAAAAACCAACCAACGGTGTGGAATGAAGAATGCCAACAAGCGTTCGATAAAATCAAAACATGTTTAACCAATCCGCCAGTATTGGTACCACCCGTTGAAGGGAGACCTCTGATCCTATATTTGTCAATTCTCGAAGAGTCCATGGGATGTGTGCTCGGTCAACAAGATGAAACTAGGAAGAAAGAACGAGCCATTTATTATCTTAGTAAGAAATTCCTAGACTATGAAACCCGTTATACACCATTCGAAAAGACCTGTTGCGCATTGGTATGGGTCACTCAACGTCTCAGATAGTACATGGCTCGACATACGACATGGTTGGTCTCCAAAATGGACCCAATCAAGTATCTCTTTGAGAAGCCCATCCTGACCGGAAGAATAGCCAGGTGGCAAGTCCTCCTCTCAGAATTCGACATCATTCATGTCACCCAGAAAGCTATTAAGGGTAGCCCCCTGGCAGATTATCTAGCCCATGGATCAACAAATGAATATCAGTCCCTACAAGACGACTTTCCCGATGAACATATCATGCACATTGAACACGAAGAGACCAAAGAAGAAGCATGAACTATGTTTTTCGATGGGGCTTCAAACATGCTTGGACACGGGATAGGAGCTATTTTGATATCCCCTGAAAAGAAACACATTCCCGTAACGGCCAGACTAAATTTTGATTGTACCAACAACATGGCTGAGTACGAAGCATGTGTGCTAGGGATCCAAGCAGCTTTAGATCATGGGGTTACTAAACTCAAAATATTCGGTGATTCATCCCTTGTCATCTACCAACTTAAAGGTGAATGGGAAACCCGAAACTCCAAGTTAATCCCATACCTAGAGTACATCCGCGAGCTGGTCTCAAGAATGGAAAGCGTCACCTTCCAGTATATCCCTAGGGAGGACAATCAATTTGCCGACGCCTTTGCCACCCTATCATCCATGTTCTCTTTGGGACAAGAACATGAGATGCCAATCATCCACATTAAGCTGCATGACAAACAAGCTTTCTGCAGGGCAGTAAATGGCGAGCGCGACCAAAACCCCTGGTACCATGACATCAAGCAATACCTCATGAAGGGCGAATATCCCGAAGGAATCAGTGACAATGATAAGCGAACCATTCGCAAAAGGGCCTTAGGGTTCACATTGATTGAAGGAACCCTCTACAAAAAGAGTCTCGATTCCACTCTCTTAAGGTGTGTGGACCATGAAGAAGCCCAAACCTTGATAAGAGAAATCCACAAAGGAGCTTTTGGAACCCACGCATCCGGGCATGTCATGGCAAAGAAAATCCTTAGGGCAGGGTATTTTTGGTCCACGATGGAAGCTGTTTGTCACCAATATGCTAAGAAGTGTCATAAGTGCCAAGTCTACGCCAATAATATTCATGTACCGCCCGCACCTCTCAGTAACCTGGCTACACCATGACCATTTTCTATGTGGGGCATGGATGTCATCGGACCCATTGAACCCAAAGCGTCTAACGGCCATCGTTTCATCTTGGTAGCAATTGACTATTTTACCAAGTGGGTTGAGGCGGCGTCATATGCGCATGTGACTCGGAAAGTGGTGACCACCTTCATCAAGAAACACATTATATGTCGGTACGACATCTCTCATAAGCTCATTACTGATAATGGGACCAATCTCAACAATAAAATGATGGAGGAGTTATGCCAGGACTTCAAAATTCAACACCACAATTCCTCCCCGTACCGACCAAAGATGAATGGTGCAGTAGAGGCAGCCAATAAGAATATCAAGAAAATCGTCCAGAAAATGGTAGTAACCTACAAGGACTGGCATGAGATGCTTCCCTTCGCCTTACACGGATACCGAACGTCGGTACGAACCTCCACAGGAGCTACCCCGTTTTCCCTCGTATACGGAATGGAGGTCGTACTACCAGTAGAGGTCGAAATACCCTCTTTGTGAGTTGTTATGGAAGCAAAATTAACAGAAGCCGAATGGGTCCAAAGTCGGTACGATAAGCTAAACCTAATCAAAGAAAAACGGGTAGACGCCATATGTCGGGGGCAAGCTTACCAAAAGAAAATCAAGAAAGCCTACGACAAGAAGGTCAATCCTCGCACTTTCCAAGAAGGGGATCTGGTGATAAAAAAATTGCTTCCAGCCCAGAAAGACAAAATCGGGAAGTGGACAGCAAACTACGAAGGACCCTTTGTGGTCAAGCGAGCCTTCTCAGGAGGAGCCCTTATCCTCACCAACATGGATGGAGAAGAGCTCCGATATCCTGTCAACTCAGATGCGGTAAAAAGATACTACGCCTAAATACATTGCTCACGACCCGTTAGGATGAAAACTCGCAAAGGGCATCCTGGGCAAAAAATAGGGTCCACATTCCTCGCTAGGACACGTCCCAGGCAAAAATCGGAGGTTTTTTTTAAAAAAAAAAAAAAAAAAAAGCAATGATTACCTTAGCCGAAAACCGAAAAGGCGACTAAGGTAATACCTTCACAAAAGCAAGCAGACTTCGCATAGTCTTCACTCCGGGTTCGAACATCTCAACTGAAAGGACCAGGAAAAACGGGGAAACAGAGATCACAGACATGATTGTGGCACCCTTATACAGTTTAGCCAATCTTGACCAGCCTTGCTTACAAATTCTTCTGTAAATCCCCATGTAAAAATAAATCATCTGTTTATATCAATAAAAATTGTCTTTCTTCTCTTTACCTACTTGTGTGAATGCCTCTGTATTAACAAAATATGAGCATGCATAAAACAAGCAATTCAAGAAAGCATAAAAACAAGACGAACAACACCAACCAGGGCCGTCCCAAGCAAAAAGTATATGGGTAGCCTGCTAGATCGAAAACCCACAAAGGGCGGTCTAGGCAAAAGATAAGGCTTTCATAAAAAGAAAAAGCCCGCCAAAATATCTTAGGCAAAAATCAAAACCCACTAGATCGAAAACCCGCAAAGGGCGGTCTAGGCAAAAGATAGGGCCAAAACAAAACAAGAATAACCACAGGAAAACGGAAAAAGAAAGTACCAGTCACTTCCTGGATGCCCATAACTTAAACAAATTGCATAAGAAGCATCCACACACAAGTAGTCGCACAAAAATGACTTTGTCAAAAGTAAAACAAACAAAAATACTGTAGACAAATAAAAAGCATTCATATAGGAAGATCAACTTTATGCTTGCATTAATAAGAAACAACAAAAAAAGGTACCCCGGTAAAACTTCACCGACCTTTTGCCTCAACCAAAAGTTTCTTCGACTACCAAGCAAGAGTCGAACAAAAACAAAGATAACCCCAGCAACCAACAAAGTCGGACGAACACCGACAAAATCCCCGTCATGATCCGGATGACCACTCAGGTCCAAGCACATTCACCAACACAGAAATCACTCCCTAGGGAGCCGGCGCATGAGCCACCCGAGCAGTAAGCCGCCACCACCACCAGTCCTATGCAGTGGACTGTACCAGCCTGATAGGGGGTTTATACCTATCCACCTGTGCACGCGGTGCGCCTGATCTGCGCTCGAGCCGGATCAGTAAGTCACAACTACCAGCCTGATGGGGGGGTTCATACCTATCCAGTTCGACACACAACGGACTGCAACTACCAGCCTGATGGGGGGTTCATACCCATCCAGTCCCGCACAACGGACTATAACTGCCAGCCTGATGGGGGTTCATACCCATCAACCGAAGGATCGGCTACCGTTAGAAGGAGTATCCTGAGGTTCTACCACGTGTCCACCGAAGGTGGGGCAGCTGTAGACCCTAAATCTTGCCCGGCCTCCAAATAAAGAGTAGAAGACCTTCTATTCGAAGATGGACGAAGCCTAAAAAGCCACTAGGAGACACTATTAGGCCCCATACTAGGATAGGAGGGATTTTCTGCACAAAAATAAGGTTTCTCGCCTTTTTGGGGACGAGATCGCTGTCTAGTTTGGCGAGACAACAGTCTCGCTTTCCCGGACGGCGGTCTCGCCACCTGCGAAGGGCGAGACGGCGGTCCCGATTGTCGAGACGATGGTCTCGACCCTGTCAGACGAGACGGTGGTCTCGATCTGTCAGGCGCGAAAACCTATAAATAGGGGGCTCCATTCCCTCATTTCCACACAATTTCTGAGCGTTTCTAAGAGTGTTTTCGAGCGTTCCGAGAGGTTTTCCGATGCTGTAGAGTGAAGGGTTGCCACAAAGCACCCTAAATTTTAAAGAATTAATAGAAAAGCTTGCTTCGGAGGTTTATATTCTCCCTCTCTATTTTTACCGCTTTAATTTTAAATTATACAATTGATATTAGGGCCATGTAGTCGTAATTTTAAATTCTGCAGAATAAAAGGGTAAAAGCGTAATTTTCACCGGTTTAGATATTTTTTAAATAGCTGGCCTGTCATAGGGAACCCGAAAGGGGCATCGTAAAGGAACTAATACTTGCTTTACACGTAACTAACTCCCTTACCCAACTCTGGTTCTAACGACCAAAGTTGGTTTTTCGAAAAACCAATGCCTTTTAACTCCTTTTCCGATGTTTCCGGTAAAAACATTGGTGGCGACTCCACAAAACCTTTCAAAACTAGCTTTTGGATTAGCCCGGTTATCGGACAATCCAAGAGCGCCTTTCCAAAAACCTCGCCCCTAGGTTCTGCCCGGTTATCGGACAACCTAAAGGCGTTTTTACTACCAACAGAAAACGCGAAAATCAAGAGGGTCGAAACCATCGCGTCGCTCCGACCGCCCTCGTTTTTTACGGCGGCGACAGCCCATATCAACATGTCCACTAGGATGTTCTTGTCCCTATCTTTCACATCTGATAGAGACAATCAAACAGTCAAGCGAAATGAGTCATGTGAGTGAGTGAGTATATGTGCGCGTGTGTTCACAAGACTTTGTTTGAGCGTGATTACCGGTGGGGATGCTGGAGAGGGCGTGTTGGATAGGCCGCGAAATGCGGTTGATGTCGCCGTAGGCAAAGATGGAGACGGCGCCGACGTAGTTGGAGTTGACGAGAACGGAGGCTATTTTCTACGAGACAGAGTTAGCGTCTTCACCGTTGGGAACGTGACAACGATCAATGTCCCATCACACAGAAATTTTGGCCTGCGAGTATGCCTTGGAGGTTGCCCCTGGATTGCCAGCCATTCACACGCACCCACTGAAATTCTTTATTTCTTGGTCTAAAGAATACAATATGATCATGCACTACTAATTCACCTATATATATATATATATATATTTATTTATTTGAGTGTTGATATTTTTCCCTCGAAAATGAATCAAAAGCATGGATAATTAGATGAAACCTATGCATACTACGGACATAAAACTACCTACGGACATAAAACTCAAAAATAACAAGTTATATAAAAATATTCTTTCACATTTGAATTTTATACCACTCTAAAAAAACTGTTTTTTAATATTATAATAATAATATACATGTATTTTAATTTTTATTAAATCTTATTATTATTATTAAATTAAAAAGGAGGCTATGTTCTGCGAGACGATTTAGCGTCTTCACCGTTGGGAACATGACAGCGGTCAATGTCCCATCACACGTAAATTTTGGCCTACGAGTATGCGGTCGAGGTTGCCCCTCGATTGCTAGCCATTTACACGCACCCACCGAAATTCTTGATTTCTTGGTCCGAAGAATAAAATATGATCATGCACTACTAATTCACCTATATATTTATATATATATATATATATATATATATATATATATATATATATATATATATTTTTAGTTGATATTTTTCCCTCGAAAATGAATCAAAAGCATGGGTAATTAGATGAAACTTATGCATAGTACGGACATAAAACTACCTACGGACATAAAACTCAAAAGTAACAAGTTATATAAAAATATTCTTTCACATTTGAATTTTATACCACTCTAAAAAAACTGTTTTTTAATATTATAATAATAATATACATGTATTTTAATTTTTATTAAATCTTATTATTATTATTATTATTATTATTATTATTATTATATTAAAAAGGAGTGTATTTGAAGTTTTAAAAAAAAATGAGATGTCAAATATTACTCGTTGTTATTTTTTAATATTATAATAATAATATACATGTATTTTAATTTTTATTAAATCTTATTATTATTATTATTATTATTATTATCTGTTACTCTAATCCCTTCTATTCTTCCAATTTGGAGTCAACTGTTCGGAGAGGGGTGGGTTTAACAGAGGCGGAAGCAAAGTCGGAATTGGCAACTTAGAGAGGGCCACCGCTGGTGGAGAGGATTGTCCAACGCCAAACGACTTTGGCGACGGCGAAGAAGGAGGGAGAAACTTGCGGCGGATGCACGAGAAGAATATTGTAACTTCGCAGGCTGAGTTTGTGAAGCGCGGTGGAGAGGTCTATGTCGCCGTATATGATCAAGTAGTTAGCGGGAGCAGTATTGTCTAGTGCCCATATCAACATGTCCACTAGGATGTTCTTGTCCCTATCTTTCACATCTGATAGAGACAATCAAACAGTCAAGCGAAATGAGTCATGTGAGTGAGTGAGTATTTGTGCGTGTGTGTTCACAAGACTTTGTTTGAGCGTGATTACCGGTGGGGATGCTGGAGAGGGTGTGTTGGATGGGCTGCGGAATGCGGTTGATGTCGCCGTAGGCAAAGATGGAGACGGCGCCGACGTAGTTGGAGTTGACGAAAACGGAGGCTATTTTCTGCGAGACAGAGTTAGCGTCTTCACCGTTGGGAACGTGACAGCGGTCAATGTCCCATCACACAGAAATTTTGGCCTGCGAGTATGCCGTGGAGGTTGCCCCTGGATTACCAGTCATTCACAAGCACCCACTGAAATTCTTTATTTCTTGGTCTGAAGAATACAATATGTTCATGCACTACTAATTCACCTATATATATATATATATATATATATATATATATATATTTATTTATTTATTTGAGTGTTGATATTTTTCCCTCGAAAATGAATCAAAAGCATGGATAATTAGATGAAACCTATGCATACTACGGACATAAAACTACCTACGGACATAAAACTAAAAAATAACAAGTTATATAAAAATATATTCTTTCACATTTGAATTTTATACCACTATAAAAAAACTGTTTTTTAATATTATAATAATAATATACATGTATTTTAATCTTTATTAAATCTTATTATTATTATTAAATTAAAAAGGAGGCTATGTTCTACGAGACGGATTTAGCGTCTTCATCGTTGGGAACATGACAGCGGTCAATGTCCCATAACACCGAAATTTTGGCCTGCGAGTATGCGGTGGAGGTTGCCCCTCGATTGCTAGCCATTCACACGCACCCACTGAAATTCTTTATTTCTTGCACCCACTGAAATTCTTGATTTCTTGGTCCGAAGAATAAAATATGATCATGCACTACTAATTCACCTATATATATATATATATATATATATATATATATATATTTTTTTTTTTTTAGTTGATTTTTTTCCCTCGAAAATTAATCAAAAGCATGGGTAATTAGATGAAACCTATGCATAGTACGGACATAAAACTACCTACCGACATAAAACTCAAAAGTAACAAGTTATATAAAAATATTCTTTCACATTTGAATTTTATACCACTCTAAAAAAACGCTTTTTAATATTATAATAATAATAATATACATGTATTTTAATTTTTATTAAATCTTATTATTATTATTATTATATTAAAAAGGAGTGTATTTGAAGTTTAAAAAAAAATGAGATGTCAAATATTACTGCTGTTATTTTTTAATATTATAATAATAATATACATGTATTTTAATTTTTATTAAATCTTATTATTATTAATTGTTACTTTAATCCCTTCTACTCTTCCAATTTGGAGTCAACTGTTCGGAGAGGAGTGAGTTTAACAGAGGCGAAAGCAGAGTCGGAATTGACAACTTAGAGAGGGCCACCGCCGGCGAAGAGGATTGTCCAACGCCAAACGACTTTGGCGGCGGCGAAGAAGGAGGGAGAAACTTGCGGCGGATGCGCGAGAAGAATATTGTAACTTCGCAGGCTGAGTTTGTGAAGCGCGGTGGAGAGGTCTATGTCACCGGATATGATCAAGTAGTTAGCGGGAGCAGTATTGTCTAGTGCCCATATCAACATGTCCACTAGGATGTCCTTGTCCCTATCTTTCACATCTGATAGAGACAATCAAACGGTCAAGCGAAATGAGTCATGTGAGTGAGTGAGTATGTGTGCGCGTGTGTTCACAAGACTTTGTTTGAGCGTGATTACCAGCGGGGATGCTGGAGAGGGCGTGTTGGATGGGCCGCGGAATGCGGTTGATGTCGCCGTAGGCAAAGATGGAGACGGCGCCGATGTAGTTGGAGTTGACGAGAACGGAGGCTATTTTCTGCGAGACAGAGTTAGCGTCTTCACCGTTGGGAACGTGACAGCGGTCAATGTCCCATCACACAGAATTTTGGCCTGCGAGTATGTCGTGGAGGTTGCCCCTGGATTGCCAGCCATTCACACGCACCCACTGAAATTCTTTATTTCTTGCACCCACTGAAATTCTTTATTTCTTGGTCTGAAGAATACAATATGATCATGCACTACTAATTCACCTATATATATATATATATATATATATATATATATATATATATATATATATATATATTGAGTGTTGATATTTTTCCCTCGAAAATGAATCAAAAGCATGGATAATTAGATGAAACATATGCATACTACGGACATAAAACTACCTACGGACATAAAACTCAAAAATAACAAGTTATATAAAAATATATTCTTTCACATTTGAATTTTATACCACTATAAAAAAATGTTTTTTAATATTATAATAATAATATACATGTATTTTAATTTTTATTAAATCTTATTATTATTATTATTAAATTAAAAAGGAGGCTATGTTCTACGAGACGGATTTAGCGTCTTCACCATTGGGAACATGACGGCGGTCAATGTCCCATCACACCGAAATTTTGGCCTGCGAGTATCCGGTGGAGGTTTCCCCTCGATTGCTAGCCATTCACACGCACCCACTGAAATTCTTTATTTCTTGCACCCACTGAAATTCTTGATTTCTTGGTCTCGAAGAATAAAATATGATCATGCACTACTAATTCACCTATATATTTATATATATATATATATATATATATATATATATATATATATATATATATATATATATATATATATATTTTTAGTTGATATTTTTCTCTCGAAAATGAATCAAAAACATGGGTAATTAGATGAAACATATGCATAGTACGGACATAAAACTACCTCCGGACATAAAACTCAAAAGTAACAAGTTATATAAAAATATTCTTTCACATTTGAATTTTATACCACTCTAAAAAAAATGTTTTTAGTATTATAATAATAATATACATGTATTTTAATTTTTATTAAATCTTATTATTATTATTAAATTAAAAAGGAGGCTATGTTCTGCGAGACAGATTTAACGTCTTCACCGTTGGGAACATGATAGCGATCAATGTCCCATCACACAAAAATTTTGGCCTGCGAGTATGCGGTGGAGGCTGCCCCTCGATTGCTAGCCATTCACACGCACCCACCGAAATTCTTTATTTCTTGCACCCACTGAAATTCTTGATTTCTTGGTCTCGAAGAATAAAATATGATCATGCACTACTAATTCACCTATATATATATAATTTTTTTATTTTTATTTTTTAGTTGATTTTTATCCCTCGAAAATTAATCAAAAGCATGGGTAATTAGATGAAATCTATGCATAGTACGAACATAAAACTACCTACGGACATAAAACTCAAAAGTAACAAGTTATATAAAAATATTCTTTCACATTTGAATTTTATACCACTCTAAAAAAAACTGTTTTTTAATATTATAATAATAATAATATACATGTATTTTAATTTTTATTAAAAACTGTAGACCCCAAATCTTGTCCGACCTCCAAATAAAGACCAGAAGACCTCCTATTTGAAGATGGACGAAGCCTAACAAGCCATTAGGAGAGACTATTAGGCCCCATACTAGGATAGGAGGGAGTTTCGTACGAAAGAATAAGTTTTCTCGCTTTGTTGGGACGAGACCGCCCTCTGGACTTCCCAGACCGCCGTCTCGCCTCATGCAAATGGCGAGACGGCGGTCTCACTTCCCCAGACGACGGTCTCGCCACTTTTGGCAGGTCGAGACGGCGGTCTCGTTGTACGAGACGGCGGTCTCGACCCTGTCAGACGAGACCGGCGGTCTCGCCACCTGACAGCGCGAAAACCTATAAATAGGGGTCCTCCCCCTTCATTTCCACACACCTCAAGCATTAGCTCCTCCTTCTCTCTAGATTTTCTCTCTCTAGAATCCCTCCGAAGCATTTCCGGAGTTTCTGAGTGTCTTCAGGAGTATTTTGAGCGTTCTAAATCTTCTTTAGAATCCCTCCGAGGCATTTCTGGAGTTTCTGAGAGTTGTAGAGTGAAGGGTTGCCACAAAACACCCTCCTTCAAAGAGTTAATATAAAACAAAGCTTGCTTCGGAGGTCTAATTTCTCTCCTCTACTTTTATTTGCTTTAATTTAAATTATGCAATAGATTAGGGTCATGTAGTCGTAACTTTAAATTCTGTACAATAAAAAAAAGGGCAAAAGAGTATTTTTTGATTTATTTATTAACAATAAAAGCTGGCCTATCATAGGGAACCCGAAAGGGGCGTAGTAAAGGAACTAATACTTCCTTTACAACGTAACTAACTCCCTTACCCAACTCTGGTTCTAATGACCAAAGTTGGTTTTCGAAAACCAACGCCTTTAAAAAAATCCTTTTCCGATGTTTCTGGTAAAAACATCGGTGGAGACTCCATAGAACCCAAAATAAATAAGTCCTTGGGTTAGCCCGGTTATCGGACAACCCAAGGACACCATTCGAAAACCTCGCCCCTAGGTTAGCCCGATTATCGGACAACCTAAAGGCGTTGTAACCACCCATAAAAAGGCAAAAAACAAAAGGGTCGAAAAACCATCGCGTCGCTCTGACCGCCTCTCTTTAAGACGGCGGCAACAGATGGCGACTCCACTGGGGAAGCCTCGAGAGTTGATCCCATTTAGTGATGGGCCGGCTTAAATAATAAATAAACCAAGAAAATAACACTTTTGCCCTTAACTTGTATTTATAACATGCTTTAATGTTTGGCTTTAATAAATTGTTGTTTGTTTATACTTGCACAAATTGCTTGAAATATAAACTGTACACAATCCCTTGCACACAACAGTTCCCCCTATACCCGGGGGCAAGTGAGATAACCATAGGGAGTGGGTGGCAGGTACGGTTCGCTGTAGTGAGGGCCTTGAGCCCACCAGTGTGATCGGAAACCACCACTCAAGGTGATAACCTTCCTCTTTTGGCAATAAGACTGACTATGGCCTTAGTGCTAAGCATGGTCGGACGACTGGAGAGTGGGGACCCTATAATGGGGGCACCTTGGGGGCCTTAGCCTGGTGAGAACAGTTAGAACCAACCCTGGCCAATGCACTTTTCTGCAGGAAAACCCTACCTCGTGATAAAAATGAAATCTCGCCTGTTCGGGGATGATCGAATTGTGTGTGCATATGATTGTTGCATTTGTATGTTGCATAGCATAAACAAACAACAAAACAAAAAAAACCAAAAATATTTTTCACAAATAAACACCCTTATCTCGGACAGTCTGCCTTTTAGCTAGCCTGATTTTCAAGTTCTTTGTAAGCTAAGTAGCCACGCAGTTCAGACAGAAGAGATAAGGGACGTTAAATATTCTTTCACATAAAGCCATATTTTATCTCGGACAGTCTGCCTTTTAGCTAGCCTGGTTTCGAGGTTCTTTGCAAGCTAAGTAGCCACGCGATTCCGACAGAAGAGATAAAAGGCTATAAAATGAACAAATAAAAATAAAATAAATAAAAAACCATTTTTTAAGTTCATAAATAAGACCTGGTCCAAAAATGTTATACTCATAAAACATTCATATAGATAGTTTATTCTTCCAAAATAAAAATACGCAAATACCATGTAGAAAAACATGATAAATAGAAAATAAGCACTTGCATACATTCAAATAAGCATCCATTTCATCAAACATGCATTCTTGTTTTAGAAATGGAGGGGACAAGTAGACAGACAAAGAAGGTGGACATTCCCCATTTCCATACTGAGAGGTTGGAACGGCTAAGCACGGTAATGCCATCGGAGGTCCGCGCCGACTTCGAAAAATCCTACGGACGGATTTTAGACCTCCTAAAGATATGTGTCGATCAGGTGTTTTTAAGGGCATTGATCAATTACTGGAATCCCAATCTGCGATGTTTCGAGTTTCCGCAGTTCAACTTGGTGCCTACCCTATAGGAGTATGAGACCATGTTGAGGTGGCCCAAATCAGCCGGGGTCCATGTTCGCCACGAAGCATATACTCCCGCAGCACCAGTCGCTGCCCTTATTCAGTTGTCATTCCGGCAGAGTGCCCTGATAAAGAAGGGGAACACCCAGGGTTGGAAAGTAGCGATGCTGGAAGACCACCTGTCCTACCTGGCTGAAAGGACAGAGTGGGTTGCCTTAAACAAAACCCTGACACTCATAATTTTTGGAACAGTCTTGTTCCCCTTCCATTTTGACACAGTAGATCAGGCCGTCATGGACGCCTTCTTCGCTTGGGACGTGAATTCGAAAAGTCCCCTGCCTGCCATTCTTGCCGACACCCTGCTCTCGGTGGAATTCTGTCACCAAAAGCAGGGCAAAATACTCCGTTGCTGCTCTTCATTGCTATTTGTGTGGAGCGCCACTCACCTGTACGCCTCCAGTCACATGGGGATATTCCCCGACCCTTTGAGAAGTTTCTCCAAGATCCCCCTCCAACGTCGTCTGACCTCAGAATGGAGGGATGAGTGGGAACGCAAGGACGCCAACAGTATATCCTGGGTCTGTCCTTGGTTCCGACCCGGCCCAGTTCTCATCAGATGTGGGGACTATCCGAGTGTACCCTTGATCGGACTCAGGGGCTGCATAGCCTACTCACCTAAAGTAGCTATGAGGCAGCTCATGAGGACCCAAACTACTATTTCTCGAGGGGAGCTCGGAGGACTGTGCTTCTTTGGAGACCCATGCACCATCGCCAACTCATTAGCCATTAGAAAAGCATGGGAGAGGCCAGTCTACATGGGAGACAGAGAGCTAGGAAAAGCTCGGGTGGCTGTCACTAGTGACTATGAGGCATGGAGAAATAGAAGAGGGGTGGCTCAATCATCCACCACACCTACCACGAGCGCCAAAAAATGAAGGGTTGCAGGCTCAAATTGACGCCTTGACCTAGAGGATAGAGATCATGGGAGCCCAGATGAGGGCCCTTGAAGAAAAGGAACAAGAATCTATCCTCACAATTGATGG